CCATCAACCTTTGGCAATCAACAAGAGCAACAAAAAAATAAAAAGGTTTAGAAAGTCTGACCTGTGAGGGAAGGCCAAAAAAAAGGCATGTTTTCTTGAGAAAAGACTTTGGGTGGGAGAGAACCTAGTAGCAGTTCTCAAATATGTTAAGGACTGTTACAAAGAGGATGGTGATCAGTTCTCCATGTTGTCCAAAAGTAGGACAAAAAGTAATACGTTTAATCAGCTGCAACAGAGATTTAAGTTAACTATCCTTACAGTTCAAAAGTAGCTAAGTATTGGAATTGGCTCCAAGGGAATTCTCATCCCCATATTGGAGGTTTTAAGAACAGATTGGACAAACATCTGTCAGGAATGGTCAATGTTTACTTGGTCTTTCCTCAGTGCAGGGAGTTAGACTAGATGACCCCTCAAGGTCACTTCCAGCCCTACATTTCTATGATTCTATGAAAATAAATAAAAAGTACAAATGAAAACAAATTCATTTAAATCAAGGTTTCCTCCTTGCTGTAAAATCAGTGATTTTACACAGCTTTGGTTTAAATCAGTACATCCTGATCTGTCTCCCTGAACTAGTCCAGAGTCTCCAGTCTACAGCTAGGTATCTCAAAGTTTGTCGAGCTGTTCCTCCATGGGGAAAACTTGATGCAGAACATGCAACTGAATATTATTCACTTTCCAGCTCAGCATATTGACTCCAACTACAGATTCACTCTGATTTGGTATCTAGTTTAATACAGTTCTCTTGATTTACCTAACCTGTCTTCTGCTATATTCTCTGCTTCTCATTCTTCTCTCTTTTCTCCTGCCTGCTTGCCTTCCTCTTGGACTACTTGCTGCCCAGGGTGGCAGATGAAGCTTTCTACAAACAACCCTTCGCTGACGTGATTGGTTATGTGTATGTTGCCTAACTACTAATTATCTGTCTGATCCTCTTCGTTATCCTTCAGAGACAGTTAATATATCTGGTGACTACATTACACTGTGTATTTGGAGTCCAGCATCAGAGGCTGATGGGTGTATATATAGCAGTTCTTCACACAATACAGCATGGTATTTGAGCTGCAATACTGAAGAGTGAAATGTCCCCTTGATCTCTAGAGGGTCATCTGAGACGTACTGGATATCACTTGTACTAACCCATGCAGCACGCGTACCACCAATAATACACTGCTAAATGACAGCAAGACTAAACTCCTGCTTCCAGGCCCATGGAAGCTTGGTTGCACACTAAGGTGTATTATGAGCATGGAGGTAACAAACCTCTCCTGTGTTGGTACTTTCTCACTCAGATGCTGCTTTTTGGCCCTAGCCACCTCTACAGACAAGATCTTCAATAGAAAAGCAACACTTTCCTACAAACAAACACTTGAGGCTGGAGGGCTTGATTTGAGGGAGGTCTAAAAGGATTTAACTTGACTGTCAGAGGTACTGAGCACTTAAAGCTTGTGTTGAAGTCAGTGAGAATGTCCAGTGCTCAGCACCTCTGAAAATCAAGCCAGTTATTTAGCACTTAACTCTGTGCAGTCAATTGTGGGAAAAGTAGGCCTTAATATGCAATTGGGGTGGTGGAGAGGAAGTTAGGATTGTTTGCCCAGTTTCATCTGAGTATTTACCCATATGGGAATGTCTCCCAAAGGATAGAGTGGTGAAAGCGCCATTACATGCAGCATATGAAACCAGACAGCCAGAACATTGGAGAACAATGCTGTGTGTGCAGACAGACAAGCCAGCCCATGGGCCTTTCAGTCTAGCTCTATTTTTTCTAAGTAAAAGCCCTGGTTTCCAACCCCCAAAGAATGATGGGCATTTTCACTAATGAGTTTAAGGATTACAATGTGGCTTTTTTTGGCTTGTTCATATGCTTTAATTTCTTCCCTTACATTTATAGACTTGAATTCAAAGATGACCATTTCAGATACTAAAGCACCTTTTAAAGGTGTACTGGTGAGAACAGTAGTATGGCTTTGTCTGAGTGAATTAAGATTGAAGTTCCACTGTGGAATTGATGGCCTAACTGTAGGTGGATGTAAGCCAAGACTTGTGAAATGCTGGATTTACAGGTGGTGTTTGATCTTGTTCTGAAGTCTCGAAGTTTCCACTGAAAGACATGGTATTAAAACACTTGTTTCCTGTACCAGTCTCCATGTAGCCAATGCAAAAGGAAATGTGCCGTGTAACGGCTGCAGACTAAAACTGGCAGCATGTTTCCTGAATGTAGACTGAGCTACTAGTGCATGTCCAGCTAGCTTATCATCTGCATTAAGCTCATTTTCATTTTCTATATCTGACTTAAACTTTCTCTCCTTGTTTCTTTTCTTCTCTTCACCTTTAAGCACAAACATAAACCATCCTTGCTACAGCCTAGAACAGTTAAGTAAAAATCTTCACTGCCCCCCTTAAGTGTCTTGTCACATGAAGTAGCAGTGTTTGTAGTGACCCTTGTCTTCAGTGGTGTTTGTACTCGAATCATCCCTGTGCCCAGTGCTGCCCCTTCCCTTCCATAGGATGATCACTGTCATTGCTTTCTCTGTACTGCTTGTTGGAGTAGATGGATTTGGTTTGATTTCTCTCAAAGTGCTTACTGCTTTAGCCCTTATGCGGCTACCAGGGCCCCACAATTTGCTTAACCTAGGCACCAAAGGGTTACATGTTCCTTGGAGCAATGCTGCTAGCAGCACAGGGATGCCAAAAGGATAACACTGCTTATTGTTTGCTAACCTACCCGTTGAAAAGACTTCACTGAGCACATTCGGGATAAAAGAAGGGGAAATGTTATCCTTTTAGCTGAACTCAGTGTAACCCTCCCCTTTGCCAAAACATGCCTCGTAAGTCTATAGCAGATGCAAGCATGGGAGCTATGACTTAAATTCCTCTTCAATCCACGCTGCTGCTCTACACCATTGGGAACCATCAGCACACAGTTTTACGGTGGCCTGCACGCCTTGGAGTATCTGTAAACCAAATGGAAGTTATTCCTCAATCTTGCACTTCAGTAGATGGTAAACTTCCAGTTGGCAAATGTCCAAAGCAAACTGATAAAAGTTGAAGGCTTAAACAATAAATGTACCAAGGCATTGCTTTAAATTGTCTGTCAGTGTCTTAAACTTTTTGTGTGCATACTTAAGCGAAGATTGCATAACTGCTCTTAAACCAAACACCTGTATTCCAACATTTTACACAGCAATTTTCTGCACTGCTTGTGCATAGCAGATTACTGCAACCTGTTCATCTCCAAGGTTGGGGTCGGGGAGCTTAACAAGCCTTAATGTTCTCAAGCAGCTGTCAGGTTACATTTTTCTTATGACATGTGTAAAACTGAACCGTATTCTGTGGAGGGAAAGGAGTGGCTTCCAGGAGGCATACAGATCCACCATTAACATGTAATATTGGATTGCTTCTAGGGCAGCTGAAGAAGCCTTTGTGAATGATGTGGAAGAAACTTCCCCAGGCACCGAGTGGGAACGTGTGGCTCGGCTCTGTGACTTTAATCCCAAGTCTAGTAAGCAGGCAAAAGATGTGTCCCGCATGCGCTCCATCCTTATTTCACTCAAGCAGGCTCCACTGGTTCGCTGAAGGAAAAGCACAATGGAAACACTACAAATGCAATATCTTAACCTTACTCAGAGAAGCTGTGTTTGCAGTAATTGGATTAATTATGTTTAAATGTGTTTTTTTGGACCAAACCTCATGAAGTATCTAGAGTTGATCATTGTTTGTGATTGCATGTTCTTCCTCATGTTTCCTTCCTCTGTCCCAAATGGGAGGAGAGAACCTCCAGAACTGTAGTCTCTCTGTACTCTTGTGCACTGAGATGTCACTCTCAACTGTACTGGTATTAAAGGTCTGTTAAAGAGTTACATCTCTGTCCTCTTTTTGTCATAGACAGAGGTAGCTTCCTCATCTCCCCTTCTAAAGGGGAAATGATCAATTCAGATAGTGTCCAGGAGCAAACTTCTAGCCTTGTTACAGTGGCAGTTTAACTTTCCCAAAGAAGATCTAAAGCACTGGCCTCACCCACTGTGTGTGGCATTACAATGAGGTGACAGACCAGTGGGTAGGAGGACATCTACCTTGTTGCATGATGGCAATGACCACACCTTTAAAGCCCCCTGTGGCTCTAATCTCGAGCAGTTAAGCACCTCTCTGCAACAACCAGTTGAAACTGACTTGGGAACATTAGCTCCATCCTGGCTATCTTTGCTAACTAGCATGCCAGATGGAAGCTCTGGGGGAAAGGAGCAGCTATAGAGCCATGCTGCCCACAGCCAATCTGCTGGTCTAATGTATTGAAGGCCCCTGCTTATTTTCCCTTCCTGCTGATTCAGAGACAGCTGCTGGTCAGCCATAGGAAAGGGGCAGGCTGGTAGGCTTGCTCCATGTCCTGTAAGCCCAGCTGGGGTGACTGAGAGGAAAGGGAGTGACATCACAGGGGAGTGGTAGGATAAAGGTATTAAAGTGGTCAGGTACTGTGGGGGTGGGAAGAATAACAATCTATGTGAAAGCACTTTATCAATCTTGAATCTGCCACTTATAAGTTTTGTTGAGTGCCCCTACTTTGTGTGAGAAAGGTAGAGCAAGAGCTCATAACTGCATCAAGTCCCCTCTTTGTCTTTTGGAGACAAATTCCCAATATTTTCAATTGCTCCCCAAGAGTGTCCAAATGTAGATCAAACGGGAAGGGTGAAGAATCTGTCGTTCACCTTAAGCATATACACTTCTTTTGCAGCAAGGAGGTATGGATATACTGCAACTGCCAACCATATTAGTTTCCTTATGTATGAGCAATTACTGAGAGCTAGTTCTTTCCACTACCTCGTATAATAGCTGGAAGGCAAGGCAAGTGAACTAGGTGGTGGTAGTTGAGTACACGTGCATTCAACCAACTCTATTATGTTAGGAGAAGGGAAGTTCTTGGGGAAAACAGGAAAAAGTGAGATACAAGAAAGGGATAATACTTAATCTCTTCATTAAGCAATTTAAAAAAACACTGAAGTCCATGTGTTTAAAACTTCATGTTGGATATCCCATCAGTCTGTCTGTTACAAAGTACAGTTCATGCAACATTACAATTAAAATGAGTGAACTATCCAGATAACTGAAAGTTTAACAAATACCCAGAAACCGTAGAGTAAATAGTAGGAAGATAACTGGTATGAATGAGAGTAAATCCACTCATCTTGCTCAGTATGAGTGAGCAATGCTCCTAAACCATTTTCAACTGACTTTCTATATAGAAACAGTGTAGTAAAAGTACCAAAATCTGCAAGGACAAGTACATGCTCCTACCATTAGATTCTCATTACCAATTAAGTTACAGATGGCTTACCTGTCTAAAACAGCTCTAAATAGACAAGGACCTTGTTTGTCTTCAGTGTTTTCACTGAAGCTTCTAACATTTTTACTACATAACGCTGGTTCTTGCCTAAAAAAGGAACATTCCTCCTATAAGTTCAGTGTAGCATCAATAGTACTACAGAACATTGTTGACCAAGGATTTTTTTCAAGCAGTTGCATGTGTTCCCTGAAGATATGCAATCAATACATGCAGATAGTCTGCCCCTCTCACAAACAATGCACAGATGACTCCGCAGCATCCCACACAACAGACAGGACATGCAGCTCTCATGTCACAATAGAACAAAGATCAAATGTCCCCATGTTACTTTCCCAGCATTGTGAACTTTACACCTTTTTTTGTGTTTTTTATTCAAGTGCAACAATGCCCTCTACTTTGCTGTAATTCAGACACACTAGATTGGCAATTCATTGGAAAGGGCTTTAAGCCCCTTGCAAAGCCCCACCCAGTTACTTAATTGAAAAGACTCTTTTGTGCACCATCACTGATTTCTAAAGGGAAAATCCTGGGAGAATGGTTGTAGCAGCTGCACTGACATCATAGCTCCGGCCCAGTGCAGGTGCTAGGGACCCAATTAACACAGAGTACGTTTCTAAGTCCCATTTTTGAAAGTACCCAAGTCACTTGGGGCCAGATTTTTAAAGGCATTTAGGTGCTTGAAGAGCCAGATAGACAGCAGGTGAAATTTTCTAAAGCACCTAGGCCCCCTCACTCGTATTGAAATCAATGGGATTTAGGCACTTTTGAGATGTTGGACCTTTACTAGCAGGCCCTGTGTGTATCCCCTAGTGCGGCACCACAGGACCCCTCCCATAAGTTCACCAAAAGAGAAGAAAGTTGCAGGGGCAGGGGCGGTCATAAAATCCCAGGTCTGATCAAACTTTCCCTCAGACCTTATTTCCCCCACCCATTTATGAAAAACATCTACCCCTGGCCCAGCAGCAGGTGGCACTATGGAGCACCACTGGTCTCTCTCCTTCATTCATGGGGATACCAACACTGCAGCCTAGTATATTACAATTGGACCCAGAACTTACACAAAGGGCCCCACTGAATGCTTAACGCAGCCTTGCAATGCCTACCTTCCACACCCCTGAGAGTCACCAGCTGGACAAGAGGGTACGGTCCTGGCCACTTCCCCATTCCTAAGCATTGAGCAGAGGGTAGGTAAGGCCACTTTGTGCCTTGGACCATGTTTGCAGGGCTGGTTTAAGGATGATAGGGTGGACTGTGCTCCAGGTTAACCTGTATGGCTAGTGCAGGGCCAATCTTCCATTAAGTGCTGTCTTTCCACCTGCCCGGGTCATAAATCAGCAGCTCCTTCTTGGAGCCATGAGGCCAGACATGGCACTGGTGTGGCTCACTGAGGCCAAACACTGCTCCTCCTGCTGAGGTTTTGGCTGCACTTCTCCCCACCTCTCCTTACCGGTGCACACCATGTTACAGGCACAAGGCCTCCTTGTCACCTTCCTGCCACTGGCCCAGCTGGCCATCCCCCACCCTAGGAAGAGGGAGCTCACTGGGGATGGTCTCTGTGAAGCCAGTCTATCCCATACCTCAGCCCAGTGTCCCCTGGCACTTTGGACTCCTTTGCAGAGTGGTGTGCCTCTGCAAGGCTCTCTGCTCAGTGTCCCAAACCTATCATCCACCCTCCCTCTCCCCCATTCCCATTTTCTCTTTTTTGGTCCCATGCAATCACTCAACTCCGTGGCCTCTTCCTTGGCATTAGTTCTGGTGTGCTCTACTCCCTGCCTTACCCAGCTAGATGTGCAGCAAGCCTGAGTAACGGAAACGAGCAGCAGTGAAACCACCCGTTCGGAGGGACCTTACTCTGAACAAGTTCTTCATTGAGGTTCTGATCTGCAACAGCCTGGGCTACCCCTGCCGCAAGGGAAGCCAAGCCCTCTCGCTTGTTTAGTACAGGTGTGTACCTTGGACCACATAGCTCTGAATGCCCATAAAGCTGCAGCCGAGAGGGGACTTTGCTGAAGAGCAGGCAGGATCTCACATGCAGCCATTCCTACCCTGTTCAGACCACCGCTGTGCGTCAAAGGGATGCTCCTAGGGAATTGTTCAGCACATCCCCCATCCTCTGCTAAGTGTCCTCTTTCTCTTAAAAAAAAAAAGGGGGGGACGACAAACCCCATCAGGTTTGGAGGGCACACTGGGCCCTGCAAGTAGAATCTTGATTGTTTCCTTGACAGAGAACAGTGACCATCCCTGGTGCAGTCAGTGTCATTCTGGGATAGATACTGGCGGTCTGAGAGAGAAGAGAATGCAGCACCTCTGCAAAGTACCTGAGCATTGGGGAACGTGGGTTGGAGTCTAAGGTCTCAGTGCTGTATTCTTGCATTGCTAACTGGAATGTTTAACTGGGCACGGACTGTTCTCTTTGCTCTGGTGTTCAGCGCCCACTTCACATGCCTGGCTCCTAGGGGCTTGACTGTGCCCTCTGCCCATGCACGGGGGCAGTGTCCTCTGCTGCAGCAAAGTGCTGGTGGTTCAAATCTGCTACTCCACGACACACACCTTATTTATAGATTTCCGGGAAGGCTGATTGCACAGCTGGCACCCCAGTAAGTCTGGCTGCCCTTCTCCCCTGTTTGACTGTCCTTCGCAAGAGTGCCTTTCTGACTTCCACTGGCAGGGAAGCCCCACTGGCCCTATTCCCTGCAGGATGAACTCCCAAACGGCCTTGAGCAAGTCTGGGCCATGCGTGCACATCCATTCATGATGCCATCATGTTGGACTGCCTCTTCTGAGGTCTGTCCTCAGCCCTGGTATGGTGTAAGTGAGCACCCTGGAGATGTTTTTCAGACCTCTCTTAGGGATGCAGAGGCTTGGGCTTACATTTATTGTCCAGTTTATACTGAGCACGAGGGGCAGGTTCTCCAAGGGCACCTGAAATAATATTTAACCCCCGTCTGCCAAAGAGCACTCTCCATTTAACATGTTAGCGTGACAAAAGAAAACTAGCCCCTCCACCCTTTCAGGGCCCTGCAGGGCAGCAAAGTCTCAGGGAGCTGGGTAAAGCCAATTCCATAACTGAGGGCCCTGCATGGAGGGCACCGTGGCCCCAACCATCTAGGGCCTAGCTGCTTGAGAGTTCCAGCTCTCAGATTTAAGCACAGAGACGCTGCTCAGAGCCCCAGAGCTCTCTGGTGTGTTTAAAGTTCTGAGCTAGTAGAGTAGGAGGGAAGGGGCCCTGTCACTTCCTTGAATATTTCTTGAGTCCTAGCTAGAGTGTTTCTGGCTTTTTCAATGTCTGGAGAAACAGAAGATTTCAGGAGGGATCAAGGAAGGACACACTGCGAGGTTCCCACAAGGGAAGTTTTCCTGAGGCAAGAGAAGCCTTTGTCTGAGACGATTAAAAACTTCCTATGGGGCTGGGAAATGGGCTGGTTCTTGGTGCTGGCTTTGAGCAACGTCATTCCATTGAGAGCTGCAGCAGCATCCTTGCAGACTAGAATGGAGGAGGGATCCCGTCCATTTGCAGGCAGTTTTGGTGGCTGAAGATAACAGAGAGGACACAGGATTGCTCATTCAGGAGCAAGCTGGAGGGGAGATTACATGTTATCCTCATAACAGGACAGAACCATACAGGGAGCTGAAAGCTCTCCACCCTGGATGAGGAGATACAGTCTCGTCAGCTAGCCTGTTCTATATGGGCGCTCAGCTCCATAGTACCTGTGCACCTTCCAGCAGCAATGGGACTAACCTCTGTCACATGGCGGTTTGCTCATCCCCCTCGATGCGGAGAAGTGTGTTTTGTTCTGGAAGTTTTATCCTAGCATACACACAGATATACTGGAAAGGGGGGGAGGTGCATGTGTATGCTAGAGAAGACATGGTCCAAGAAATGCCTCTGATGCTTGGAGTGGAAGGTGGGGAGGTTTGTGATAGTTTCATTTCTTGGAGAGTCTGTTCCAGACTCAGGCCGGCTCATGAGAAGGCTGTCTCTCCTGCTCAGATAAGCTCGACATGTAGGGTAGAAAGTTTCATTGTGCCAGAGGAGCGCAGTTGTCAATCATGATCTTCATACCAGAATTTTAGGCAGTCTTTTAGATACCCTGGGCTCAAGCCACAGAGCACCTTGAAGATAAGAGCCACGACCTTGAACATGATTGAGTAGTCCATACCGGGAAGCTGGTTTAGGGAGCAGAGGGCAGGTCTGATGTGCTTGTGGTAGCCTGGGTTTCCAAGGAGATGTGCTGCAGTATTCTGTACCAGCTGGAGTTTCCTGAGTGCTGATGGCTTCATGCTCAGGGCTCTTGCACTGCAGTAGTCCAGCCGACAGGCAACGAAGGCGTGAATAATCCTGGCATGTTAACATGGGACAGACTCATGCTGTGGCAGACCAGCAACTCGGAGAAACTGAAATCCTCCCTAACCTACATCCAAATTAGTGGAACAGGTCAAATTCAAATAACTCACTGCTGGTCATTGCCAATTGCTGAGGAGGCACAGATGACACTCTGCTACCTTGTTCCCACACTCCCCAGTTTGTCTGGCCACATGTTGCATCTTGTAAGCTTATGTGGACAGGGACAGTCTTTCCTTTTTCACAAACAGGGCCCCGATCCCTGACTGGGACCCCTAGGCACCAACAATACAAATAAATAACAACAAAAAGAATCCTTCTCCGAGAGGAGCTCTGGCTGCCACAGTTGCCTCCTGAGAGGCAACCTCTGTGTTCTTTCCACCCAGCGGGATGACGCCCTATGGGTTAGGATTGCAGCACATCCCCTTGTGCGTGAGGGCGAGGAAATTCAAAGCTGAGTCAAACCAAACCAGTACTTGTCTGCAGGCTTTTCTAGTTTTACATAGTTACGAGACAGGACCAGGGTCCCCAAGTGTTGTCTAGAACTTGGCACACCTCACCAAATATATCCCGGGAGAACACTGGAATGTGCTTATGGATAAGTCTTTCTAGCATTGCTTAAGCAACACCTGAGCTCCCAAGCTACAGAGGTGAACAAAAAAATGGAAATGCACATTACTTCATCTGAACTTGGCTAAAATGTAGAAAAAAATACAAAGAGGTATTACTACAATAAGGAAATACTGAAGTAGTAACTAACTACCTAAAACACTAGTCTGCTTTACTACAGAAGATAAACTGATGGTCAGCAGGAAATACTTTGGGCACAGTATTTTTCCCCCTCAGAACAGTTATACAGCTGGACTGTCCATTTCGGTAATTTCCCCAGGTACCTAGTATATTCGGCGTGTACTGTAATCTAGCACCAGACTAGCAGCTCCAAGCAGAGCAGGGTCCGCCAGATTTGAGACAACCACATCCACTGTCTCAGCAGAGAACAAAGCCTGCCGACGGATCACGTCTTTGACGATGTTAACGTAATGGCCTGCTAAAACTCCCGAAAGGATCACCAGAGAGGGGTTCATGGTGTGCAGGATATTCACCACTCCAAGGCCTAGAGCTGTGCCAGCTGTGAAAACAAAGGAAAGAGACATTACAGCAAAAAGACAACATCACAGAAGAATCTGAACATCAGGGTCTGACCTAATGTCTCTAAACACATTAATTACTCCTGGGAGAATTCTGTGCCACTGCATGCGCACAGCATTCATGTCCCCCACAGATTTCTTTGCTTCCCCGCAGAAAAATGATTTTCTGATAGGGAAGCAAAGGGAAACTGCAGGAACAGTCATGCACCCCTCTCCAGCAGTGCAGGCATGTTGTTTTGGGTGTCTGTGGGGAGGGAGTGGGGGCAGAAGCAGGGCTAGGGTAACCTCGGCTGGGGGCTCCTATGCTGGGCCAGTCTCAACTTCTCTTTCTCTGCAAGGACCCACACCCAGAAACCTCCCCAGGCTGCAGGAAGATCCACACCCCCTACCCCTGCTTCCCGCCCCCATCACTTCTCAGCCACAGTGGGAGGGGTCACTGTATGGGGAGCTGCTCCCTGGTCCACCCAACCCTGGTGCATCCAGAGCCCCCCATACCCAGACCTCCCTGATGAGTATCACCCCCTCTGCACCAAGACACGCCCCCATGAGTCCCCTACATAAGGTGACCAGATGTCCCAATTTTATATGGACAGTCCCGGGATTCGGAGCTTTTTCTTATTGGCGCCTATTACCCCTCACCCCGTCCCGATTTTTCACACTTGCTATCTTGTCACCCTACCCCTACACCTGAACCCCTATCCCACCAAGCCTCACCCCCTGCATCAGGATCCCCACCCCTTCACCCAGACCACCCCACACCCTGATGAGTCCTCTGCATCCAAACCCGCACCACACTGAGTCCCAAACAGCGGTACCTGGACCCAAATCCCACTAAGCCCTACTCCCCCAGCACCCAACCCCCCCACTGAGCCCCTTAGATCCAGACCCCGCCTTCCGAGCCCCATCCCCCCACACTTAGACCAAACCTGCTGAGTCCCAATCACCTTTACCTGGATCCCACTGCAGAGTCCCACTGCCCCTGCACCCAGGGGGAGGGATAGCTCAGTGGTTTGAGCATTGGCCTGCTAAACCCAGGGTTGTGAGGTCAATCCTCGAGGGGGCCATGTAGGGATCTGGGGCAAAAATTGGGGACTGGTCCTGCTTTGAGCAGGGGGTTGGACTAGATGACCTCCTGAGGTCCCTTCCAAACCTGATATTCTATGAAAGTGAAAGTAACACCCCAATGAGCCCCTGTTCATTGAGATTGGGCCACACAGAAACCTGGATCCCCCCCCACACTAAGCCCCTCCATACTTGGATCCTGGTGTGCCAGGCATGGAGGGGCAGGGCCCCGGGGTGTTTCTGGGCCAGCCCCAGCCCTTGTGCTGTCTCAGAGTCAGCTGCAGTCTCACTGCCAAGTCCATGCCCCAAGGAGGTGGGGGTGGGGGGGGGAGGGCCCTGCAGGGTGATCTCCCACTGCCACGCTGGAGCCTCCACATTTATTTATTGACAAATGAAATTTGAAGAATTTAAAAATATTGTGAGCAGAATTTTTAACTTTTTTCTGTAGAATTCCCTCAGGAGTAATTTATAATTTTTCTATCCAGAACACCAGAATTACAACAGAATGTATTCCTTTTCTTGAGAGAAAGTGTTAGTGTAGAATACTGGGACAGCTAGCTGGGACACTTGTGCTCATCATCCTCTTTTCTTTCAAGAGTAAAAGAAAAATTCAATTGTTTATAGCTGGGTAATGTTATACCATGATATAGATGAGAGAGGAAGTCAACGCATACCGCCGTGCTAGGGAGAACAAAGGAAAGAAAATACCTCCATCGGCTATATTGGTTACACATAAGGAAACTGGTTACATTTAATGCTTGTTTTGAAAACTCAGAAAAACTGTGCATTGTAAAGTATTGTATAAACTGGAACAACGCTTCATAGAAACGGTTTCATTTTGGTTGCCTAGCATATATATTTATTGGCCCATCACTGAAGTGTCCCATAATTTCCCATACCAATACTGAATGATCAGAACCTGTCCTTTTTTTCCCAGTGTGAAGCCAGAGCTATTTTGCTTGCCACAAGAAAAGGAAAAGCATGATGTGTTAATATTCTAATCCCCTGGAGCAGGAAATCCCAAAAGAAATAGCGAAGGGTCCCATGACCATGCAATTTGTAATCTGTTTAACCAAATCTCTAACACTGTCCCAGATAACAGTCTGTTGGAGACAGGACAGGATCACTAGCCCATTCTCTTCACAATTCCCCACTAGCCATTGGTACCACTCCTATCCATGACACCACGCCTAAAGGGCCAGATCCCTCACTCAAGTGTAATTCTGTAGAAACATCACAGCTGTACTGAGGATTTGGCCTGCTGTGGTGAAATACCAATTCTACAGCTTTGAGAATTTCTCTCTCATTCTAAGCCTTGGTCTACACTAGGAGTTGAGGTCGAATTTAGCAGCGTTAAATCAATTTAACCCTGCACCCATCCACACGACGAAGCCCTTTTTTTCGACTTAAAGGGCTCTTAAAATCAATTTCCTTACTCCACCCCCAACAAGGGGATTAGCGCTGAAATCGGCCTTGCTGGGTCGAATTTGGGGTACTGTGGACGCAATTAGACGGTATTGGCCTCCGGGAGCTATCCCAGAGTGCTCCATTGTGACCGCTCTGGACAGAACTCTTAACTCAGATGTACTGGCCAGGTAGACAGGAAAAGGCCCGCGATCTTTTGAATTTCAATTTCCCGTTTGGCCAGTGTGGCAAGCTGCAGGTGACCATGCAGCAGAGGTGACCATGATGGAGTCCCAGAATCGCAAAAGAGCTCCAGCATGGACCAAACGGGAGGTACGGGATCTGATCGCTGTATGGGGAGAGGAATCCGTGCTATCAGAAGTACGTTCCTGTTTTCGAAATGCCAAAACATTTGTTAAAATCTCCCAGGGCATGAAGGACAGAGGCCATAACAGGGACCCAAAGCAGTGCCGCGTGAAACTTAAGGAGCTGAGGAAAGCCTACCAGAAAACCAGAGAGGCGAACGGCCGCTCCGGGTCAGAGCCCAAAACATGCCGCTTCTATGATGAGCTGCATGCCATTTTAGGGGGTTCAGCCACCACCACCCCAGCCGTGTTGTTTGACTCCTTCAATGGAGATGGAGGCAACACGGAAGCAGGTTTTGGGGACGAGGAAGATGATGATGATGAGGTTGTAGATAACTCATAGCAAGCAAGCGGAGAAACCGGTTTTCCCGACAGCCAGGAACTGTTTCTCACCCTGGACCTGGAGCCAGTATCCCCTGAACCCACCCAAGGTTGCCTCCCGGACCCGCCAGGCGGAGAAGGGACCTCTGGTGAGTGTACCTTTTAAAATACTATACATGGTTTAAAAGCAAGCATATTTAATGATTAATTTGCCCTGGCATTCGTGGCTCTCCTGGATATACTCCCAAAGCCTTTGCAAAAGGTTTCCGAGGAGGGCAGCCTTATTCCATCCACCATGGTAGGACACTTTACCACTCCAGGCCAGTAGCACATACTTGGGAATCACTGTAGAACAAAGCATTGCTGTGTATGTTTGCTGGCGTTCAAATAACATCCGTTCTTTATCTCTCTGTGTTATCCTCAGGAGAGTGATATCATTCATGGTCACCTGGTTGAAATAGGGTGCTTTTCTTAAGGGGACACTCAGAAGTGCCCGTTCCTGCTGGGCTGTTTGGCTGTGGCTGAACAGAAATGTTTCCCGCTGTTAGCCACAGGGAGGGGGGAGGGGCTTGCCACGCACTGTGGGGAGGCAAAATGCAACCTTGGAACGAAAGCACATGTGCTATGTATGTAATGTTAACAGCAAGGTTTACTGTGAAAGAGTGTACCCCTTGTTCTATAAAATGTGTCTTTTTAAATACCACTGTCCCTTTTTTTTTCTCCACCAGCTGCATGTGTTTCAAGGATCACAGGATTTTCTCCTTCCCAGAGGCTAGCAAAGATTAGAAGGTGAAAAAAACGCACTCGTGATGAAATGTTCTCTGAGTTCATGCTGTCCTCCCACACTGACAGAGCACAGACGAATGCGTGAAGGCAGACAATGTCAGAGTGCAGGAAAGCACAAAATGACCGGGAGGAGAGGTGGTGGGCTGAAGAGAGGGCTGAAGCTGAAAGGCAGCGGCAGCGTGATGAGAGGAAGCAGGATTCAATGCTGAGGCTGCTGGAGGATCAAACCAATATGCTCCAGCGTATGGTTGAGCTGCAGGAAAGGCAGCAGGAACACAGACCGCCGCTACAGCCCCTGTGTAACCAACTGCCCTCCTCCCCAAGTTCTACAGCCTCCTCACCCAGACGCCCAAGAATGCAGTGGGGGGGCCTCCGGCCACCCAGCCACTCCACCCCAGAGGATTGGCCAAGCAACAGAAGGCTGGCATTCAATAAGTTTTAAACTTTTAAAGTGCTGTGTGGCCTTGTCCTTCCCTCCTCCACCACCCCTCCTGGGATACCTTGGTAGTTATCCCCCTATTTGTGTGATGAATTAATAAAGAATGCATGAATGTGAAGCAACAATGACTTTATTACCTCTGCAAGCGGTGATCAAAGGGAAGTGCGGAGGGTGGTTAGCTTACAGGGAAGTAGAGTGAACCAAGGGGCGGGGGGTTTCATCAAGGAGAAACAAACAGAACTTTCACACCGTAGCCTGGCCAGTCATGGATCTGGTTTTCAAAGCTTCTCTGATGTGCACTGCGCCCTCCTGTGCTCTTCTAACCTCCCTGGTGTCTGGCTGTGCGTAACCAGCAGCCAGGCGATTTGCCTCAACCTCCGACCCCACCATAAATGTCTCCCCGTTACTCTCACAGATATTGTGTAGTGCACAGCAAGCAGTAATAACAGTGGGAAGATTGGTTTCGCTGAGGTCTAAGCGAGTCAGTAAACTGCGCCAGCGCGCCTTTAAACGTCCAAATGCACATTCTACCACCATTCTGCACTTGCTCAGCCTGTAGTTGAACAGCTCCTGACTACTGTCCAGGCTGCCTGTGTACGGCTTCATGAGCCATGGCATTAAGGGGTAGGCTGGGTCCCCAAGGATACATATAGGCATTTCAACATCCCCAAAGGTTATTTTCTGGTCTGGGAATAAAGTCCCTTCCTGCAGCTTTTGAAACAGACCAGAGTTCCTGAAGATGCGAGCGTCATGTACCTTTCCCAGCCATCCCATGTTGATGTTGGCGAAACGTCCCTTGTGATCCACCAGTGCTTGCAGCACTATTGAAAAGTACCCCTTGCGGTTTATGTACTCACCGGCTTGGTGCTGCAGTGCCAAGATAGGGATATGGGTTCCGTCTATGGCCCCACCACAGTTAGGGAATCCCATTGCAGCAAAGCCATCCACTGTGACCTGCACATTTCCCAGGGTCACTACCCTTGATATCAGCAGATCTTTGATTGCGTGGGCTACTTGCATCACAGCAGCCCCCACAGTAGATTTGCCCACTCCAAATTGATTCCCGACTGACCGGTAGCTGTCTGGCGTTGCAAGCTTCCACAGGGCTATTGCCACTCACTTCTCAACTGTGAAGGCTGCTCTCATCTTGGTATTCTTGCGCCTCAGGGCAGGGGAAAGCAAGTCACAAAGTTCCATGAAAGTGCCTTTACGCATACGAAAGTTTCGCAACCACTAGGAATCGTCCCAGACCTGCAACACTATGCGGTCCTACCAGTCTGTGCTTGTTTCCCGAGCCCAGAATTGGCGTTCCACAGCATGAACCTGCCCCATTAGCACCATGATGCCCACATTGCCAGGGCCCGTGCTTTGAGAGAAGTCTGTGTCCACGTCCTCATCACTCACGTCGCCTACTTGCCCGGTATTGCTTTGCCAGGTTCTGGTGCTGCATATACTGCTGGATAATGCGTGTGGTGTTTAATGTGCTCCTAATTGCCAAAGTGATCTGAGCGGGCTTCATGCTTGCTGTGGTATGGCGTCTGCTCAGAAAAAAGACGCAGAACGATTGTCTGCCGTTGCCCTGACGGAGGGAGGGGCGACTGACGACATGGCTTACAGGGAATTAAAATCAACAAAGGCGGTGGCTTTGCAAGAAACTGAATGGCCCCCTCAAGGATAGAACTCAAAACTGGGTTTAGCAGGCCATTGATTTCACAGAGGGATGGAGGGAGGAGAAAATGAATACAAAACAAATCTGGTCTATTTCTTGTTTTGAGCCACTTCATCTACATACATCTTGCTGGCAGCAGACTGTGCAGTACGACTGCTAGCCATCGTCAACACCTGGATGCTCGGCAGAAGACAGCGTAGTATGACTACTGGCCATCATCTTCTGCTAGCTGCAGATTAAAAGACAGTGCGGGACTGAATCGCCACGAGACGAAACAAGGGAAATGACCTCGCTGAGTCACTCCCATGTTTACCCAGGTGCCTGGTTAAAAGAGCACCCAGGACTACGTCGATGACGGCTACCAGTCATACTACACTGTCTGCTGCCAAAAGGCAATGAACTGCTGCTGTGTAGCAATGCAGTACCATGTCTGCCAGCACCCAGGAGACATACGGTGACGGTTAGCTGAGCGGGCTCCATGCTTGCCATGGTATGGCGTCTGCACAGGTAACTCAAGAAAAAAGGCGCAAAACGATTGTCTGCCCTTGCTTTCACGGATGGAGGGAGGGAACAGGGGCCTGACGATATGTACCCAGAACCACCCGCGACAATGTTTTAGCCCCATCAAGCACTGGGATTTCTACCCAGAAATCAAATGGGCGGTGGAAACTGCAGGAACTGTGGGATAGCCACCCTCAGTGCAACGCTCCAGAAGTCGAGAATTGCCTCGGTATTGTGGACACACTCCGCCGACTACATGCACTTAGAGCATTTGTGTGGGGACACACAAAATCAACTGTATAAAAACGCTTTCTACAAAACCGTCTTCTATACATTCGACCTAATTTCGTAGTGTAGACATACCCTAAGAGGGTTTCCCACCCTAGGTCTAGCTTCTTACCTGTTCTGAGAATGCTCTCAGCCTTTGCATTCCCAAGTTTAGCTGCCTGAATGAGATGCACAGCACTAATGGTCTCTTCCGTCTTCACTGACATTCCGCCCACTAACAACAGGTCCTCTGTTTGGGGTGAAGAGAAAGCCCAGAGGGAAACATTAATAACAAATCTGCAGTTGGAATAACAGGGTGTTTGTATCTATGTTATTCATCTGTAAAAAGGAAGGTAACTTTTAGAAAGACAGACCTTATTTACACACTTAGGCCCTGATGCTGCAAACATATATGTGAGTGGTGCCACTGAACTCAGCGGGGCTAGTGAGGTGCCTAGTTATTCATGTGAGTAGCTGTTTGATGGATCAGGGCCTTAATTATGACAGTTCCATTGTGATAGCAAACTGGTTTGTTTTACAAATCAATCACTCCAAATATAGATGTAAAATATAATTAAGAGCAGAAACTGTCCACATTGTATTCAAGACTGGGGAGCTGTTGATGAGAGGTTCCAATTCCACAAGGAACAAACAACTGAGCTCATCAACAGGACATAGCGAAACAGCCAAGTGGCTAGTAAGAAGGTTAACTATTTGCAGTAGTAGAAACAACATGCCACTGAGAGATCTAAAATCCAAGATGTACAAAGGTGTGTTAGTCCAGAGAAATATAATTTTCCAAAGCTCACATGTAACATTGCCTTTAAAAGTATCACAATATATTACTTTAGTGCTCTTGCTGCTGTAAGCATTAATTGCTGGGGGGAGAGGGGGAGTTACTAACCCTGAAACTAGGAAAAAAAAAATTCTAAGGAATATTTTGAATTCAACACAATACATATGAGTTAAAGCTAGGTTATGACTTCACTGGGAGCAGAATTAGGCCAATGCAGCACTTTCCAAAATCCCACCCTACATGCTCTCTCTCTCTACTGAGGTTCACACTTATTAAACCTATGATCCAATTTTACCATCGCTGAAGCTCCTTCAGAATGCTTGTTAAAAATGGCTGCCCCAGTGGCATGCCTAAAATGCCGTTTTAGGTTGGACGCTCTTTGCATTTGCCAGCAGCATCACAGAAGATTGAACAACTATGTTAAAAAGAGGGTAGAAAATACACCTACCATCATGTAGTTTTTTAGCTTCTCTCTGTAAGGCTATTCCAGAGGCATATGCTTCTATACATCCATGGCTCCCACACAGGCACTCTGGTCCTTCTAAAGACACCACAATGTGTCCAAGTTCAGCAGCACAAAAGGAACTTCCATGGATCAATTCATGTTGATGAATGATTCCACCTCCAATTCCTATAAGCATATACAAATTTCTGACAGTAAAAGAACAGTCATGTAATGGCCTGGATTCAGCAGGGAACTTATATATCCTTATCTTAAAAGGGAAGGGGTTAAATATATGCATCTGTGCATCACTGTATTAGGACCAAATAAAGGAGTAGTCATTACAAATCTCTTTTCTGCTTAATGCACTTGGTGCAATTAAATACATAAGTCTCCCCTGCCCCTGGATGGCAAGATGAACTTACACCTATAATGCATAGTTCATTGGCCATGTCATGGTATAATTTGTTTATGAGTTATTTAGCCAAAGAGGGTTATTGAGGGGCACATGTAGACATTATGTCACAGCCTGTGAGTTCATAACTCCTGTCATAGTAGTTGTCATAAATATAAAGGTAAGGGTAAACATCTTTACAGGTGAAAGGGTTTTTCCTCTGGCCAGGAGGGATTTAAAGGGTTAAGAAGCTAAGATAACCTCGCTGGCACCTGACCAAAATGACCAATGAGGAGACAAGATACTTTCAAAGCTGGAGTTGGGGGGAACAAAGGGTTCTCTCTGTCTGTGTGATGCTTTTGCCGGGACCAGAGCAGGAATGCAGGTCAGAACTCCTGGAAAAAGTCAGTAACCAATCTAGTTAGATAGGCGTTAGATTCTGTTTTGTTTAAATGGCTGATAAAATAAGTTGTGCTGGATGGAATGTATATTCCTGTTTTTGTGTCTTTTTGTAACTTAAGGTTTTGCCTAGAGGGATTCTCTAGGTTTTGAATCTGATTACCCTGTAAGGTATTTACCATTCTGATTTTACAGAGGTGATTCTTTTACTTTTTCTTTAATTAAAATTCTTCTTTTAAGAACCTGATTGCTTTTCATTGTTCTTAAGATCCAAGGGTTTGGGTCTGTGTTCACCTATGCAAATTGGTGAGGATGTTTATCAAGCCTTCCCCAGGAAGTAGTGCTTGGGGGGATTTGGGGGGGGAACATTTCCAAGTGGGCACTTCCCCTGTTCTTTGTGTAACACTCTGGTGGTGGCAGCATTTAACCTAAGCTGGTAAGAATAAACTTAAGGGGTCTTTCATGCAGGTCCCCACATCTGTACCCTAGAGTTCAGAGTGGGGAAGGAACCTTGATAGTAGTCCTAAATTCTTTATGCATGAAACAAATATTTAAATCACCCTTAAGAAGCAAAATCTTATCAAAACTTGTAAATACTAAAGTAGAAGTCAATCACATCCTTCAGATGTGGTGCATCTAGAATTCTTGTCCTAGAGCTAGTATGAAAGTGTGATTTGCATTACAAAGGATTGTTTATTGTTCATTAGCATTCTTCCCTCACTAATTCAGATGGCAGTGGGCAGGCCTGGGTGGCGCAATGCAGCGGTGGTGATACTGAATGTGCGAAGTCAGGATCCTTAGCTCAAGGTCAGCCCAGATTACATCTGTTAACATCTAGTCTACACTAGTAGAGACATAACTAGCCATGCATATGCAAGACTGGTTTGGGCTGGCTTTTTTGTTTTTTAACAAGTGAGGATTCTTCAGCGGAGGTGACTGACACCCGTGTAAATGGTCCGTATCTTTTTAATCAAATAAGTGTGTCAGACCCACCATCCAAGTGCCACAATGTGCTACTAGGATGATGTGTCAAGCTGAGCTCCTCATTCAGCTACTCCATATGGCTCCAGATCGGACCTACATTTTCTGCAGCTGGAAGGGAATTATATTACAATGTTGGAACTGGAGGAAGGCCCTCACTAATGCAGCTGTTCTGTGACATAAAGACAGCAGGAATTCAGTGCTTTCATTTCCGGGAGTTCACACTTACCTGTACCAGTGATTAGTGTTACAAAATTTTCCACTCCTTTTCCATGCCCAAATTTCCTCTCTGCCAGAGCAGCACAGTTGCCATCATTGTCCACCCAGACTGGCAAGTGCAGAGCATCAGATATCGGGGTTCTCAGATCAACAGAACTCCACTCCTGAATAAGCTTTGTGGAATGAAGCACAATTCCTTCTCGGGGATTCACCCGTCCACCTGTAGAAATACCTGAGCCCCAAAACACATAAGAGAAAAATCAAGGCTAAGGCTAAATAACTCTGGAATAACTATCTATTTGCTCCTTGGGAGGAAAAGGATTTTTATTTTTAAACACTAAATGATAGATTTCTGAATCTAAACAAAAACAGTCCTAAGCCTCACTTGCAATACATTACATCAGTTATGATATGAAACGAGAACTAACGGAATTCTACCATCCTTATCAATATGTGCTCAGTGTTCCAGCTAACCAGCTGGGAGGTGTTATCATTAGCAGCTGAAAATTCAATTTCTTATTTTAGACGGTGTTGGGTAAGTTGCTTAACCCTTCTGTGCCTCTTGTTAGCCACATATTAAAAAACCTGTATAATACCAAGGAGTTGTCCATCTTAAAGAAGTGTCAAGCACCCCAGACTTGTTGAAACTCTCTGGGTAAGGATAAAAGGGGTAAAAAGCAAGGGTGATGTCATTTTAGGGGGCCTACTACAGACCACCAAACCAGGAAGAAGAGGTGGATGAGTCTTTTTGTAAACGACTAACAAAATAATCCAAAGCACAGGACTTGGTGATGACGGGGGACTTCAACTACTCAGACATTTGTTGGAAACACAACAATGCAGGGCACAGATTATCCAACAAGTTCTTGGAATGTATTGTAGACAATTTTTTATGTCAGAAGGTGGAGAAAGCTACTAGGGGAGAGGCTGTTCTAGATTTAATTTTGACAAACAGGAAGGAAATGGCTGAGAATTTGGAAGTGGAAGGCAGCTTAGGTGAAAGACTACGAAATGGAAGAGTTCATGATTCTAACGAATGGTAGGAGGGAAAACAGCAAAATAAAGATAATGGATTTCAAGAAGGCAGACTTTAGCAAACTCAGGGAGTTGGTAGGTAAGATCCCATCGGAAGCATGTCTAGGGGGAAAAACAATTCAAGAGAGTTGGCAGTTTTTCAAAGAGACGTTATTAAGGGCACATGAGGAAACTATCCCACTGCGAAGGAAAGATAGGCAGTATGGCAGGAGATCGCCCTGGCTTAACCAGGAGATCATCAATAATCTGAAACTAAAGAGAGTCCTACAAAAAGTGGAACCAAGGTCAAATTACAAAGGATGAATATCAACAAATAATACAAGTATGCAGAGACAAAATTAGAAAGGCCAAGGCACAAAACAAGATTCAACTAGCTAGAGACATAAGGGTAACAAGAAAACATTCTACAAATACATGATGGGGAGAAACAATAATAGAAAATGTGGAATGGCAGAAGTGCTAAATGATTTTTTTTGTTTCAGTTTTCACCAGAAAGGTTAGTAGCGACTGGACATCTAACGTAGTGAATGCCAGTGAAAATGAGGTAGAATCAGAGACTAAAATAGGGCAAGAACACGTTAAAAATTATTTAGGCTATGTTATATGTATATGTATATTACGGACCTTGCAGCAGCACCGCTTTATCGCTACAGCTAGGCCGCTGTTAAGGTCTCCCGTGTGAGAGCCCTCCTGCCAGCATAATTAAATCATCCCCACTGAGCGGTGCTAGCTACGTCGGCAGGAAAGCCTCTCCTGCCGACATAGCACTGTCCACACCAGCACTTGTGCTGGTGAAACTTATATGAGTCAGGGGTGTGTTTTTTTCACAATCCTGACAGAAGTTTTACCGACAAAAGTGGTAATGTAGACAAAGCCTTAGACAAGTTAGATGTCTTCAAGTCACCAGGGCCTGATGAAATACCTCCTTGAATATTCAAGGAGGTGACTGTGGAGGTATCTGAGCCATTAGCAATTATCTTCGAAAAGTCATGGAAGACAGGAGAGATTCCAGAGGACCGGAAAAGGGCAAACAGAGTGCCAATCTATAAAGAGGGAAATAAGGACAACCCGGGGAATTACAGATCAGTCAGCTTAACTTCAGTACCCACAAGGATAATGAAGCAAATAATTAAGCAATCAATTTGCAAACACCTAGAAGATAATATGGTGATAAGCAACAGTCAGCATGGATTTGTCAAGAACAAATCGTGTCAAACCAACCTGATAGCTTTCTTTGACAGGATAACAAGCCTTGTGGATAGGGGAGAAGTGGTAGCTATGGTATATCTTGACTTTAGTAAGACTTTTGATACGGTCTCACATGAGCTTCTCATAAACAAACTAGAGAAATACAACCTAGATGGAGCTACTATAAGGTGGGTGCAAAACTGGTTGGAAAAACCATTCCCAGAGAGTAGTTATTAGTGGTTCATAGTCAAGCTGGAAAGACATAACAAGTGGGGTCCTGTAAGGATCAGTTCTGGTTCTGTTCAATATCTTCATCAATGATTTAAATAATGGCATAGAGAGTACACTTATAAAGTGTACAGACGATACCAAACTGGGAGGGATTGCAAGTACTTTGGACTATAGGATTAAAATTCAAAATGATGTGGACAAACTGGAGAACTGGTCTGAAGTCAATAGGATGAAATTCAATAAGGACAAATGCAAAGTACTCCATCCAGGAAGGAACAATCAGTTGCACATATACAAAACTGGAAATGACTGCCTAGGAAGGAGTATTGCAGAAAGCGATCTGGGGGTCATAGTGGATCACAAGCTAAATATGAGTCAAGAGTATAAAACTACTGCAAAAAAAAGCAAACATTGTTTTGGGATGTATCATCGAGAGTGTTGTAAGCAAGAAATGAGAAAAAATTATTTTACTCTACTCTGTGCTGATTAGGCCTCAACTGGAGTATTAAGTCCAGTTCTGGCCACTACATTTCAGGAAAGATGTGGACAAACTGGAGAAAGTCCAGAGAAGAGCAAAAAAAATTATTAGAAGTCTAGAAAACATGACCTATGAGGGAAGACTGAAAAAATTAGTTTTGTTTAGTCTGGAGACAAGAAGACAGAGAGGATGTGATAACAGTTTTCAAGAATATAAAAGGCTGTTACAAGGAGGAGGGAGAAAAATCGTTCTCCTTAACCTCTGAGGATAGGACCAGAAATAATGGGTTTAAATTGCAGCAAAGATGTTTTAGGGTGGACATAAGGAAAAACTTCCTAACTGTCAGGGTGGTTAAGCACTGGAATAAATTCCCTAGGGAGGTTGTGGTATCTCCATCATAGGAAACTTTTAAGAGCAGGTTTGACAAACCCCTGTCAGGGGTGGTCTAGATAATACTTAGTCCTGCCATGAGTGCAGGGGACTGGACTACATAACCTCTTGAGGTCCCTTCCAGTCCTACGATTCTATGATCAGTAAAATCTGCTGAAATTGGCAACACTTAAATAAACATTTAGGATGAATGAAAGAGAAACAGTGGAACTTGGATAATAAAGTATCAAAGTAAGCGTCTGAATGGGACTTGTCCTGGAGAACAATACACAAAGTAAAGAGTTATTAGTCAAGTTTATATTGAGAAAACAATGGTTATCATCAGATGAAAACTCCTGAAGTCAGTGGAACGTGAGTGCAAAGCACCTCTAAAAGTGGGACCACTTACTGAGGTGTCTAAATAAATGCTAGGGTGCCTAGCTTAAGATACCCAAGTATAAAGATTTTGGTCACTGCTTTTAAACAGAGAACACATGATGGTGTGGCATGATATAAAGGTGTTACCAGCATGAGTTTGGAATAGCTGCATTCCTCATGAGTGGCAATGACAAGAATGAGTTATACAGGTCGGCCTTAACAAGTGCAAATAAACGTTTATACCACTAATCGTGGGTTTGGAATATGCCACGTTAGGAAAAATGATTTTAGAAGTGCTTGAGGCTTAATTTTTTTTAAATTATTCCTCTTATTTCACACCCCTTACCTGTACATTGTACAGACTTTGGATGGACTGGATAATTATAATTAAGACAGAAACCTCTAAAATTACTTAAATTTGCATTTTTACTTCTATAGATCATAGCATCTGGATTTCAACATCTGACATCTTACTGGAAAATGGAGATTTAAAAAAAAAAAAAAATCTTCCTAATGGAATAAAGCTCCCACTGTTCACTCTGATACCTTACAAAGTACTGGATCATGAACCTAACACTGGTGCACAGCTGAATACTTCCTGATGACCCCAGTCCTTAGACTAGTGTAACTGAGGGAAAAAATCAACATTTCTGTCAAGGGAAGGAGGAAACATTTCTCTGCAAAGGTATTCTGTTATACTAAAAAAAAAAAAAAAAGCTGCTTGGAGCTGCTCAAGGTTTGGAAGGTATGGCACCTCGTTCAATGGGGCCCTAACGCTGATCATAGAATCATTGAATATCAGGGTTGGAAGGGACCTCAGGAGGTCATCTAGTCCAACCCCCTGCTCAAAGCAGGACCAATCCCCAATTAAATCATCCCAGCCAGGGCTTTGTCAAGCCTGACCTTAAAAACTTCTAAGGAAGGAGATTCTACCACCTCCCTAGGTAACGCATTCCAGTGTTTCACCACCCTCCTAGTGAAAAAGTTTTTCCTAATATCCAACCTAAACCTCCCCCACTGCAACTTGAGACCATTACTCCTTGTCCTGTCCTCTTCTACCACTGAGAATAGTCTAGAACCATCCTCTCTGGAACCACCTCTCAGGTAGTTGAAAGCAGCTATCAAATCCCCCCTCATTCTTCTCTTCTGCAGACTAAACAATCCCAGTTCCCTCAGCCTCTCCTCATAAGTCATGTGTTCCAGACCCCTAATCATTTTTGTTGCCCTTCACTGGACTCTCTCCAATTTATCCACATCCTTCTTGTGGTGTGGGGCCCAAAACTGGACACAGTACTCCAGATGAGGCCTCACCAATGTCGAATAGAGGGGGACTGTATTAGGCAGGCTAGTTGGGACTTTAATGTAATTAAATAATAAAATAGTCCTGCCAGGGTTGGAATAGTGGGCAGAGTGCAGGTGATGCAGTCAAAGGGGTAGGGAAAAGAATCATGTATCCATTTATCACATGGTTCCCACCACTATATATATGGTGTGTGGGTTTTTTAAATCAAATCCAACTGGTTGAAACTTGGTCATATGGCCAAATTATAAATGTTCCCCATTATGCATGAAAGAGGGCTTTAGCTGAGAGAAGGCCTACTTTATGGCCAGGATTATTATTGATTTCCAACATATCCAGCAGAGATAGACTGGCGCTGGGTGTTGTAGAAAGCCAACAACAATACTTATTTAAAACTACCACATTAGAGGGAGCATGTCTTGTTACAGCATGCAGATATGCAGAAGATATTGCTTGAAAGCTACATTAATTTTCAAACTACTACTTATATTTTCTTCACCACAGTACAATGCATACAGCAGAATGTGTAATCATACTCCCCAAACAGCCAAGCGTTACATACAATGAATTCAACAGCTAGTAACATTTTAAGTAGCCGCAGTATGCAAACTATTTTTATATTGTTAAATTGTAATGATGTTTAGCACCTGCATTAATTTATGATGTCCTGTTTTGTAAATCCACACTAAGGCTGGTATTTTGGTGGGGTTATGTTAGCCAGTTAATTTGGTTACCCTGGAATATAGCTTCAGAAAACAGATTTGCTTGGCACAGAAAATCCATTTTTTAAATCAGTGCAGAATCCATTCCCACATGTAACATAGCAGGAACTACTGGATAAAAGGATTAAGAGTTAAGTCACGGGTATAAATTCATGCATTGTACAGGAAAGTAACATTCAGCAGAAAGTCATTAGTCAGATATTAAGCAAAGATAACTCACTATGATAGTTAATTTGTGCAAGGACAATAGGGTCTTTGGTAGATATTATTTAAATCGCCAGTTAAAAGTTTAATGGGCCTGATTTTGATCTCTCACCAATGTAAGTCAGGAGTGACCCAGAGAAACCAATGGAGTTACATCAGAATCAGGCCCAACAGGTTTGTTTAAATAGATCAAAAGATTCTGTTAAACACTGGAGCGCTTACTTTCATCAGGGTCCACACTACCATTTGCAACGGTCCCTCTATTGAGAGTTGTAGGATTAAAGGGGAAAGGACAGCTTTCTATTATTATAAGGGTTCATTTGATTTTGATTAATTAGAACACTCCAAAAATGGTATCGTCCAGAAATCCACAGACCAGAATTACAAATTCCACAAATTAACATTTGGTTTGATTGTTGAGCACCTCTGAAAAATCAGTCCAATAACTATAAAAAAAGTTACAAAAAGCCACATGACAAGTCAACTAAATTCAGCATTACAGCTATGATTCTGGGTCCAATTCAGCAGTGACATAAGCAGCTGTGCAAGTCTCATCACAAAAAAATAAGTGTACACAGTGCAGCTTGCACTGGGTTAATATTCAGTAGTGTGCAAAAATGAGTACAATTTGCACAAGGAGGAGGAAAGGGAAATGTAACAGGAAATGCAACTAACAGGAGGAGATAAAACAAAACAGCCCCTCAGGCACACAGAGTCAAACACAAGTGGAAGAGAAGAATCAGGCCCACAGTCTTTGGGTCTGATTTTCCACTGCCCTGCACCTTGGGTCATCATTTGCACCTGAATGAAGTGGATGTACAATACCACTCTGATCTGGTAGGAGGTGACACACAAACTGCACAGGAGTGCATGGTGACAAGGCGCACAGCACTGGAGAAATTAACTCTTTTATAAGATGTTATTTCTAACATCTCTCCTCCCTTTCAGCATGTAAGTTACATGGCTCTTGCACACCCACTGAATGCCACACCCATGCAAATCGCACCATTTGGTCACTAACACCTAATATCTGACTACCTTACACTCAACGTCCGAAGTTTGCCACTGTTTAAGTCACTGCTGAATTTGGCCAGGAGACTTGCAGAGGTGCTGGACCAATTTACTCCTGGTCTCTGTTTGTTCTGCTGAAAAAGTACAGAAAACTTTTAGTCCAAGTGAAACATCGGATGTCAAACAGGACCTTTTGTTCACTGAGATTATTCTGAAAGATTCTGTTATTTAATGTAAAAAGAAAAGGAGGACTTGTGGCACCTTAGAGACTAACAAATTTATTTGAGCATAAGCTTTCGAGACTAACACGGCTGCTACTCTAAAACCTGTTATTTAATGTAGTAGCATAATAATTTAAGATAGAATTTTCTCAAAAAAGTTCTCTCTGGCAATAAAGAATTTATAAATTGCCTTTTTGTAATCCTTCAGTTCAGGGATTTGGATCACACACGTGTACATTGCTTCTTTTGCTTTTTTGTACTCACCATTGAAATTTTTCCAGGCTCATTATGGCAAATACGAATTTTTAAGAGTTGACAGTAATATTTTTATACCATGTGATTTAAATCAGAATTTCAGTTTTAGAGCAAAACTTGTCTTTGGCCAAAATGGAATGAGGTTCTAATATTCTGGTTAAACAGAATCCTTTCCACTAAAATAAATGTTTCAGAACAAAGCTTTTAGTCAGTCATTAAGAGGAATAAAGCTTGGATCAGTTACAGTATAAACAAAATAATTTAAAATGGGTTTCTGCTACAGTGAAATTGAAATAGCAAATGAAAAGCTATTTTGCCTTCCAACTCTACGGACATAAGCATCACTTCAGGACTTTGTTTTGGCCTCTTTATGCTGCTCTGGTGAGTCAAGGGGCTTGGCACCCAAGTGGCCACAAGCAACTGTAGGAAGTGTCTGTCAGTGATGGAAGTTTCAGGGGCTGCTCTAACTTATGCTCTTCAAATTCTGGTGCTGGGCCCCCCGCGTCAAGGTAGGTTAAAAAACAACCTTTGCCACCCACCACCCTGAGGGCTGTATCTCCTCAGCAACACCAGTCAGGCAGTGCTGTTCAGAATCATGGCCCTAGAATCAAAAGCCACAGAAATCAGCATGAATGAAAAGTTCTTCTTATGAAATGACTAGTTCTGGAAATACCGTGGTGTTGCAGGTTGGGACTGAGGTGCATTGGCATAGCTTTGTGGATAGCTTTCACAGTTCCTACTCAGAGAGAGCTGACTCTAGGCTGTGTTTTCAGCCCCCCATTTTCACACGCATTTAAAAAGCATCCCTTATCATACTCACTAAATAAAGGAATAAAACTGTCAATATAAAAGCTGTGAAAATGCGAGGGATCAAATTTTTAACACAACTGAACAATCTCGTTTAGTGTTTAAAATCTTGGAAGAAAAATTCAATATTCATTAACTTACCCACTCCCAAAATTCTACAGTTCAGATTTACAGCTTCTGATGCAGCCTCCATACACATCTTGAGAATCAATTCTATTCTGTCCTCATAGGTTTTAGGATTGAGCTGGGTATATTTCTTTACTATTTCACCCTAAGAGGGAAAAACAGTCAGGCTTGTCCACTTGTATAAATGCCCTGCAAAATGAATGACTTCTCTTCTGTTTAGACTACAGACCCATCAGCTTTAAAAACAATTTTATATTTTCAAAGGGCCACAGCTCTACTTCCAACTGGGGAGAAAAAAAAGATACAAGTCTTAGGCCCTGACCCTGCAAGATTATCTGTGTGGGCAGGCCCCTTGCACCCATGAGCAATCTGGTTTCGCTCTGTCCCAGCACTGAAAGGGAGGAAGGGACAACTCAAATAGCTTTACGATCAATGGCTGGATTAAAAAGGAAGTGTTTTTTAGTTTTAAATATGATAAAACAAAAGTTTGTTTGGTGTCATAAATATTGCTATTTTACTGGCAACAGGAAACTTAAGTAGACACATACTTGGAATTCAGATGCAGGGATTGGTCTTATAAAGGGCATTCGTTATAAATATTGTTTCTTATACAGCAATGCTGACTCTGAATATCAGTCTTTGAAACATTTTTTGCAGTAATGTAATCTCTGATGTGTGTGTGGGGGGGATGAAGGAGAGGAGGATTTTTATAACTTAACACTCCTAAAACAATGAAAGCATTCATTATGTGTGGGTGCAGGGGGAAAAAGAAAGTTAATGTAATGGTAAGCTTGCAAGATCAACCACTCAGAAGTGAATACATTTCAAAAGTGAACTGGTGATGTTATCTCTGTCACAAAGCACATCCTGTGTATTTTCTGGTAACAGAATGTTACACTGTGGTTTACAAGGGGAAAAGGAATAGACCATGCTGTATATATACCATGTGACTGCCTTAATGTTACCAAAGCAACTTCAGCTTTGGGAATTTCCTAACATTTGAGTGCTGGTTTGCACTCAAATGTCAGCATTAGATCAATGATGGTGTTGTATTTTCCTTTAATCTTCATTTAGTTTCCTCCACCAGTTTTTGTTTTTTCAGGAACAAATAAAAAAAGTAACTAGAGACAGTTTTTAGAGGTAATCTCTTTGTTCTGGTTTTGCCAGAAGATCTTGAAAGCTCTTTGAAAGCAATGGTTTCCAAACTTTCAGCAACTGAGTCCCACCCTTCAGGGAAATTAAACCAACTGCACCTTCAGCTCTGCCATATGTTGTTAAATGCATGCTCAAAAACAGGGTGTCACTCAGGCCTGGTCTACATTTAGGACTAGATCAACATAGCTACATCTGCCAGGTGTGCGAAAAACCCCCAAACCAAACCACAGACTCCTGAACACTGTAGTGATGCCAACCTAACCCCAGGGTAAATGTGCTACGTCGACGTAGCCACCATCGCTCAGGGAGGTGGTGTTCCGACACTAATGGAAAAACTCATTCTGTCTGTGTAGGCTGCATCCACAGGATAGGGTTATGCCACTGTAGCTACAGGGACCTAGCTATGCTAGTGTGGTCTCCTTAGCTTAGACATACCCTTACAGTAGATCAGAGTAGACTGTGTAGATCTTCGCACTATAACACACTCTCGCCTGTGTTAGATGCTTTGAGTGGTGAAATCATTAACAAGTGTGACCAAATTTAAAGGATCATTATTGGTACCTGAGTTGTACCCAGTCAATTGAATGAGGTAGTTAACACTTCCGAGCTCTTGTTTCAGGCTTTTTGCCAACATCTCTTCATTAGTTATGCCTGGATCACATTTTCAAGGTTTTCTTCACAATCAGAACAGCTAGGCACTTTTTTTTTTTTTTTAAATTAATGCTAAAGTTTCTGGGAAACAACTGAGAGGCCTATTTGTGCTTCCCTGGCTAGTTCTTCATGCCAGCCCCAGAGGCATTCCACCCACTCTGGGAAACGTCACTTAAATGAGCTAGCTGTGTATAAGCTGTTCAACTCTAGGCCAAAGAAAAATGTTCTACGTTCCATGAATTCTTTGGTGGTGAAAGATGATGGGCTGACAGCCCTGGAGACTGAAGTATTTTATTCACAGAACATCTACCATGCAGGCTGTGATGGTGCACTTTTCCCCACACTGCCCCACAACATGCCCTAACCTGTTCTGGAGCAATCACTTTTAGGAGAGAAAGGGGTAGGTTAGTATCCAGGCTTACGCAGTCCTGGGTTTCTCCGAGAATGCCAGCCTGGGTGCCAATTACTTTCTATTCTGATGATGGTTTAGAGTGCTGGGCTCCTGTTCTCAGGTATCAAATGGAGAACTATCACCTACTGTTGATCCAACAGCCATCAGAAAGTAACAACTTTTGGCCTAGCTGTGTTTTCACTGTTGACAGAGGTGAAAAACTCCCTATCACATGACCTGAACCATCCATTCCTCTTCAGTGAATTATCCTTGGAGTCTAGTTTCTTTTTTTCAGATATTCTGCATGTCCATTACAAAGGCATATGACGGGGTGGTGTGGGAAGTGAGGAAAATGGCACCAGGAGTCTCTCCCCTTGTGTGTGGGCTATATAAAGGCACAAGTTGAACTGCAGTCCCTGTGCTCAGGGAAGTGCAGGAACTGCTCACTGTCTATTCCCCCGCGAGCGCATCACTCCTCAGACAGAAGGAGCCAGTGGGATCATGGCTTTGCCTTGCTCCACATTGGCCGGCAGACCTGGCCAGCTGCACAGTCCATAAAGGAACACAGCAGCAGACACACTTCATCAGCTCACGTGGGATCTCACCCTGGGACAGGGTGGCATTGCATTATCCACAGTGCAGTGCTTTCCCATAGAATACAGTGGTGTTTATAGACATGTATAAAAGCATGGTATAGTACTTACTTTCATACTGACTATCGCTACGCGGAGATTTGTTCCGCCTAGATCCACAGCCAAGGCACTCTGGGTTTCTAGGATATGGTCAATATCTTGTGAGATGTTCTCCTTTACAGGAGGGAAGCAGAACTTCTTCTGCAGTGGCTTTTTGAGGTCGATAGATTTGAGGAACTTCAGAATTCTTGGAACAGCATTACCATCCCCGTATATTTTTGAGCTGTAATATAAAAAAGCACTAATTATAGTATAAGCAAAACAGCAAGTCTGTAAAGCACTTATAAAATAGAAGGCCACAATATTTCACATCTCAAAGGTTATTAATAACTATAACGTTATCTGCCACGACAATAATGCATATCAAGTCTCTGTGAGCGTGCCACAGGATGTGTTGGATGCTTTAACAATCAGGAATGGGTTGAGCGTTATCCAGCTACAGGTAGCACAAGTGTGCAATTACCATCATTTTTTCCCCTGGGCTCTCGTTTAACCATGTTCCATAAGGTTACAGCATTATTTGTTTTTTTTTGTAAAGAATTCTATATATTGATACTGAATCCTAAATATCATGCCATTTGCAGCAGAGCTTTGCTGTATGAGTTCCAAGCTGCCAACGCTGTACGATTCTGAGATTCGCAGACTGCTTTCCTTTGTATGTAGTAAGATATCTAAGATGATTATTTCTTCCTAGAGTGGTGAGCTAACCTTGGATAAATATGGTGAAGTCCATTCTCCACCCCAGCACTAAGGGACTTATCTCTGGTCCCCTGAAGCGCAGTGGGTGGATATATATACTTACCAAGTTTCAGAGGAACAGCCGTGTTAGTCTGTATTCGCAAAAAGAAAAGGAGGACTTGTGGCACCTTAGAGACTAACCAATTTATTTGAGCATGAGCTTTTGTGAGCTACAGCTCACTTCATCAGATGCATACCGTGGAAACTGCAGCTGCTGCAGTTTCCACGGTATGCATCTGATGAAGTGAGCTGTAGCTCACGAAAGCTCATGCTCAAATAAATTGGTTAGTCTCTAAGGTGCCACAAGTCCTCCTATTCTTTTTGCGAATATTTTTTTGTATATATAAAGTCTGCTGCAGTTTCCACGGTATGCATCTGATGAAGTGAGCTGTAGCTCACGAAAGCTCATGCTCAAATAAATTGGTTAGTCTCTAAGGTGCCACAAGTCCTCCTATTCTTTTTGCGAATATTTTTTTGTATATATAAAGTCTGCTGCAGTTTCCACGGTATGCATCTGATGAAGTGAGCTGTAGCTCACGAAAGCTCATGCTCAAATAAATTGGTTAGTCTCTAAGGTGCCACAAGTACTCCTTTTCTTTTTGCGAATACTTACCAAGGATACTGTTTTCCAAACTGGAGATGCAAAGCTTGTAGTATTTTGTCCTGTGTGTCAGCATCACGAACATGAAGAACATTTTCACCTAGATAATCAAAAATGCAATGTCATTCTTGTGCATGCCAGCTACTTGATAAATAATTGGAGGAGGGGGGCTGGGGCAGAAGAGAACAGAATTTGACATGGACAAGCAATTACTTGTGTGTCCTGGCAAAATGTGTTAAGACCTCACACCTACTCAAAAGGAACATGACCTACGTGCACACAGTGCCCCTACTTCTGTATGTGTCATCTTCGTACATGCAGATGCTACGCTGACATTGCTCTGTTAGGACTTGCTCCCACTGAAGTCAATAGCAAAACTGTCACGGTACAGTATTCTGCCTGCAAAGCACTCAGAGAACAGAATTCTTATTGACTCCAGTGTAATTCCCACATATAAGAACAACAGAGAGAACAGGAGGGTAAACCCAAGGGTCGGTCCTGGGGCCGGTTTTGTTCAATATCTTCATAAATGATCTGGAGGATGGTGTGGATTGCACTCTCAGCAAATTTGCGGATGATACTAAACTGGGAGGAGTGGTAGATACGCTGGAGGGGAGGGATAGGATACAGAAGGACCTAGACAAATTGGAGGATTGGGCCAAAAGAAATCTGATGAGGTTCAATAAGGATAAGTGCAGGGTCCTGCACTTAGGACGGAAGAACCCAATCCACAGCTACAGACTAGGGACCGAATGGCTAGGCAGCAGTTCTGCGGAAAAGGACCTAGGGGTGACAGTGGACGAGAAGCTGGATATGAGTCAGCAGTGTGCCCTTGTTGCCAAGAAGGCCAATGGCATTTTGGGATGTATAAGTAGGGGCATAGCGAGCAGATCGAGGGACGTGATCGTTCCCCTCTATTCGACATTGGTGAGGCCTCATCTGGAGTACTGTGTCCAGTTTTGGGCCCCACACTTCAAGAAGGATGTGGATAAATTGGAGAGAGTCCAGCGAAGGGCAACAAAAATGATTAGGGGTCTGGAACATATGAGTTATGAGGAGAGGCTGAGGGAGCTGGGATTGTTTAGCCTGCAGAAGAGAAGAATGAGGGGGGATTTGATAGCTGTTTTCAACTACCTGAAAGGGGGTTCCAAAGAGGATGGCTCTAGACTGTTCTCAATGGTATCAGATGACAGAACGAGGAGTAATGGTCTCAAGTTACAGTGGGGGAGGTTTAGATTGGATATTAGGAAAAACTTTTTCACTATGAGGGTGGTGAAACACTGGAATGCGTTACCTAGGGAGGTGGTAGAATCTCCTTCCTTAGAGGTTTTTAAGGTCAGGCTTGACAAAGCCCTGGCTGGGATGATTTAACTGGGAATTGGTCCTGCTTTGAGCAGGGGGTTGGACTAGATGACCTTCTGGGGTCCCTTCCAACCCTTATATTCTATGATTCTATGATTCTATGAACTGTTGTTTATGTCTTATCTGAGGCACCTGTGTGATTGTGAAGAAAAACTATACATTTGCTTTTTATACCTATTGCTGGTTGTGGTGTACGTGTATATTAAAATTTCAGGATCATACCAGAGTACATAGTTTTATGCCTGTCACATGTACGGGCACCCATAAAGAAAACGTGCAGTGGTTTATTCTGGCAGGTGGAAGCCACTTCATATATTTATTTTAGTTGGACTATAGATAAAAAGCTTTACTACAAAAATAATCAGGACAGAAGGAACAGATCAGTCAAGTTAATAAGACAGGTCAAAATTGCCCTGCTGTGATAATGTCCATTAAAAATAAAATTGGCATGCTTGTTAAACTCAGACTTTAGCTTCTGTAATGATGCAACCACATGACCGTACCCAACACCCAGGAAGTTAATTCAGCAGAGAACTTAGCAGCAAACACATACCTGTTTCTCTTCCTATTTGACGTGTTCCCAGATTGATGACAGGGGTTCCAAATGCTCCCACCTCTCGAACACCACAGCTGCTGTTACCAATCACACAACCAGCATGTGCCACTAACTGGATGAATTGCTCAAATGGAACATGCTTTACTGCTCGAAAATTGGGATGATGCTCAATGCCCTTCTTCCTCATCACCCGAACCATCTCTTTGCTTCCTGTAGAAAAAGCCAACAATTGAGAACAAAATGTTAACCGATAGTTGAATTTTCACTGTGGCTACTGAAGGGGCTACTGTATACACTGTAATTACATGTCAGTAGCTGTCATTGGTGTTAACACAGAAGTACTGCGAAAGCAGCAAGGCTGGTATTCCTAGGACTGCCCCCACCCGTTCTGTGTACATGTTCCCAACCACTCTTTGCTCACCAGCCCTCCACAGGACTCTTCACAGCTGTGTCATTGAGCATAGGGTTTCAGCTGTGAGTCCGAGATCCAATGTGGAAACAGTTCATTACTATTACATTTTTAAGCATTTTAGAGCCCGTGGGTTAGCAAAATAGCTTGTCTGTCCCCCAAAATTGCAATGCTTTCCCTTTATCTTCCTCAGAAGATTGAAGGGCGAAGGTGATCCTGCATTCAGCACATGGTTCCAGTGAGTTCAAACGTTATACCTACATCACTAAGCTACCTCCATGTGGGTAGATGAAGTAGCACAAGTGAAGATGCAGAGAGGAAAGAGGAAGTCAGATGGGAGGGCTGCAGTGAACAAGGATGGATGCAGGTGGATTAAGAGGTCTAGGAGTGAGACACAGGGTGAAGTGACTCCATAGAGAGTTCTGAAAACCTGGAGGGCAATTCTTCACCAGTTTAAAACAAAAACAAAAACCAAACCATGTATAAAAAGTACCTGTTTCACTCACCTGCATCAATATTTGGGAACAGAACTAGTGTCCTTTTGTTAAAGGAGATGAGTGCATCCAACGTTAGTTCAAACATCTTTATGGAATGTTTAATATCTGTGGTCACAGGGTGCTGCAGAGCGACTATGTAATCTCTAGGTTTTACATCTTCACCTGTTTAAAGGGAGCCCAAAAGAGACTGTTTTATTAGCAGCATGGTGGTTGTGGTGGGAGAACGATTCTGAAGCCATTGAAACAAAAACCTCCTGAAGTCCTAGACAGCAAAATCTGATTTCTAGTACAATTAGTTCCAATACTACATGAGAACATAAGGGAGCGACAGGAGAATATGGGTTTGAAGTTTATCACTGTAAGTAAGACTCAGAACAATTGTTATTGTCTAAGGCCCAAGCACAGGGTCAACTGCAATACTGGGTCCTAAAACTTTACAAGAGTACTTTGAGCGCAGACCGAGGCCCCTAGTTACACCAGCATAAAACTGGATTAACTCAGCTGAAGCCAATTAATGTATTCTGGATTTACACTATTGTGAATGAGAGCAGAATTTGACCCAGAGGCTGTGGCACAACAACAAACAGGCAGATCTGACAGAGATTTTCATTGTGATCATGTATTCCTTTCAATCCATTTGTCTATTCAGGTTTCCTGATGGTCTTCTGGGCCTCAAGGGATGGATTTTTCACCATTTGCTTAAAAGAAATGAGAGAGTGACTACCATAAATACTTTACTTCACTTGTTCTAAAGAGGAGCAGGTTCACTTTACTTTATTCTGAAAATGACTGAACTATTGAACTAACAAGAACCCAGTTCCCAATTGACAGGGGCTGAAGAATTTTTCCTGTCAAACACGAACAAGATATGCTGATTTTTATGGAATGATCTGAAAGTAAATAGATGACATACAACACAAGTCTCTGAAACAGATCATGCTACTGTATTGTACTGCGCAGGAGACAATGTACAGCATGTAAATTCCCTTGATTTTCTTCAAATTAGTTCCATGCACAATCTCTAACATTATTAGGTCAGACCTGCTCCCTGATGTCTGGTTATAAAGGATATGAACAAGATTCTGAACCTCTGTGTATCAAAGAAATAGCTCTGAGTTCTAATTTATTTTTTAACAAAGAACTCAGCAAATTTGACTCTTGTTTTTTGACTCAGCAATAGGGTTTTAGATGTTAAAGACAATCTCTTTTTTTGGTCATGTAGGGTTACTTTCTCCTGACTACAAATACGAGAATGGAAATTGTAGAAATGAAGGAGTTTCTTGAAGAAACCAACACAGTCAAAATGTGACATTTGGGTCTCTAGAGAGGAAGGGGCTCCTGAATATTTAAGCATTACATCTGATATTTGATTGGATGTAATTATGTTAAATAATATGTGAGGTTGGGGCTCCTATTTCTCAGTCTTCCAGGCTACAGACCAATTGGCCTTGTTATTAATCTTGCCCTGGAAACAGACTATTTTGGTATGATAACATTTGAAAGTTTTATGTTGTTTTTCCTCCCTTTGATTTACCAAGAGCTTTTGTTCTCAAAATAATATGCACATTTCCTTAAAGTGTGAAAGGCAGAGCATATGGGCATTTTGCTTTAAAAAGAGCAGGGGAAAAGACATAGGGAATAGCATTCTATGAAAACCAGCATACTAAGGTTTTCAGTTACGTCTGTGTTTACTGGGTCTGTATGTTTTTCTATGGTGGGAGACAGAGGATAGAATAGCACTGTCAAAATGTGCTTGTACCCTTCATAAAATCCTGTCTCATCTTCATGGGAATGCCAACAAAAACGCATGTCTGCCTGCTACAGAAATCTTACGAACTTTGAACAGAAGTGCAATACACACCTATCCACATACGTATAATACTCATATAGTCTTTATTTTTGGAGGAGAGAAGCTTGTCATATGAGGGACAGCCAGCCAAGAGGATGCGATCATGATCTTCGCACATGGATATCAAATGCTGCTCTGCACTTCTTGTGCAACACACATGGAAATGAGCCAGTTTGGTTATGGCATGTCTGATTGAGTCATCTATGGTCCCACTGACTTCCCCGCCTTCAATATGAAGAATCCGAATATTCATCAAAGCTGCAGATGTGGCCAGTGCCAGAGCATCAAATCTGTCCCCATGAACGATCACTATGTCAGGTTTCAGACGGTTGAGAACATCTGGTAGCTTTACTAATGCAAGGCCTACCGACTCCACCATGGCTGCCTCATCCTCGCCTCTCACTATGGTGTGCAATCTCGTGTGAATGTCAAAGTCGTCTTGTTCAATCATACGGTAGGTGTTACTGAAGAGAGGAGCGAAAGAAAATAAATGCTCAAACTGCAATACTGCTTGCTTTCACGCTGACATATCTTATGACAGCAGAATGGCACACAAGCATTTCATTACCAGTTTGCCCATTAACTAACTCTGAGGAAGCAGCTAGATTCTCTCCCTCTGTGGAAGACACCTTTTCAAATTTGTAATGATCCTTGTTCACGGAGGCCAACATTTTCCATCTAGGGTGCCTAAGATAGTACTTGATGCTATGCTTGTGCAGCAGCATAGATGTGCCTGATTTGCAGTGTGCTTGAGCACCCACAGCTCCCACTGACCTCAGTGGAAACCGTGGCTACTTAGCAGCTCTGAAAACCAGTCCATTTTGATTTAGGTGCCTAACTTTAAGCAGCCTAGTTTGAAAGCAGTGACCTGCTTTCTACACCATGCAATTAAAGTAGCACCTTACAGATTACAAAAGAAAAGAAGTAATCCAATAAACCAGATTTTTAAAAAGGAGTCACACAAAGGCTGTAAGCACATAGGACTTCTAGAAATCTATTTTTTTAAATACTTACTAGACTTCACATATTTTAAAGCCTGTATTAAATATCACAAGCCCAGAAAAAGTAAAGACTCTTTAACCATAAGCTATTTACTTTAAACTTCACCACCAGATATTTAGTTAGCACAACTCTACCAAGTTGTTACACAGGCTGGGTAGCAGAGGAAAAGGTTGAGCTTCTTCCACAGAGTAGAGTTCGAGGGTGTGGGGGGCTTAAAAGGAAGTTTAGTTAGCAGACTTCCCCATCACATCTCTGTAGTTTAAATTACATGTGAAAGGCTTCCAGAGGGCTACCACGCATCAGGACCAGTGATAGCTAGCATGCAGACCTGCGTATTGTATATACACTAGGGGGAGCAGCTGTAAGGCTGTTTGCATTTTTCTCCCTTGTACCGTATTTTTCCCATTGCTATTCAGCTGAAGAGCCACTACTATCGATATAAGAATTCCAATTTACTGCCTGACCAAGCAGTTCCTCAGCCTTCTAGAGTATGTTAGGAATTATATTAAAACTAACAGAAAGTGAACTAAGTCCAGGAACAAATGAAGATCGTTATAAGACCTTGAATAGTTGCCGCAGGAGGCGCAGCAATGCCTCAGAGAGAGGGTTCATTTTATGCTGCTGAGATGACAAGTACTAATAGCAGCTTAAACCCACAATGGGAAAGCCGTAGTATTTCTGATATGTTGGAGTCATTATCACCTGCACAAACACACTTGTAATCTATAATAGGAATGAAGGACAAGAGGCAGGAGAATAGGAGAAAAGACGGCTGTTCTGATTACAAGTGTACAGTGATGCACTTGCATACCATATTCATTATACTTGACTGTATAAATGTTCCAGACTCTCTGGTTGGAATGAGAGATGAGAAATCAAAAGGGTTCTAATTCTTTTCCTTAAGAGAACTGATCCATTCACCCTCCTTAGTGGAAAGGAGCAAACTTCCCGGTAGGATTTTGTCAGATTTAACGCTTGGTGAATCCACTTGTCCACTTGCATGTTGCAAGTTAAAAATTGTGGCTGGCAAGAGTGGTGGCAGAACAATGGTTACAAGCACGGCAAGGAGCTCAGCCTCAGCAGGGGAGGAAATCATTCTTCTGTTGAGCTCCAAAGAGCCACTCTTGCCACTCCCAAATTCTTCTTACTGCAAGTGCATGCAGGATAAATCTTGGCCAGTGACCTCCTACATGATTTGTTCAGAGCTGATACTATTCCCAAAAAACTGTCTTTCAACCTCCTCACTTTAAATAGTTTCCTCTGCATTATGTTTTTGGCTCTGTTTACAACTACCCTCCACTCACCACTGCATCCTCATATTCAATAGCTTTAGGACATTCTGTGAGTGCCTTCCTCACAGATACCTAGCAATCAGCAGCAGCAATTGTGGTGAAAAGGACCTAGGGGTGACAGTGGACGAGAAGCTGGATATGAGTCAGCAGTGTGCCCTTGTTGCCAAGAAGGCCAATGGCATTTTGGGATGTATAAGTAGGGGCATAGCGAGCAGATCGAGGGACGTGATCGTTCCCCTCTATTCGACATTGGTGAGGCCTCATCTGGAGTACTGTGTCCAGTTTTGGGCCCCACACTTCAAGAAGGATGTGGATAAATTGGAGAGAGTCCAGCGAAGGGCAACAAAAATGATTAGGGGTCTGGAACATATGAGTTATGAGGAGAGGCTGAGGGAGCTGGGATTGTTTAGCCTGCAGAAGAGAAGAATGAGGGGGGATTTGATAGCTGTTTTCAACTACCTGAAAGGGGGTTCCAAAGAGGATGGCTCTAGACTGTTCTCAATGGTAGGAGATGACAGAACGAGGAGTAATGGTCTCAAGTTACAGTGGGGGAGGTTTAGATTGGATATTAGGAAAAACTTTTTCACTAAGAGGGTAGTGAAACACTGGAATGCGTTACCTAGGGAGGTGGTAGAATCTCCTTCCTTAGAGGTTTTTAAGGTCAGGCTTGACAAAGCCCTGGCTGGGATGATTTAACTGGGAATTGGTCCTGCTTTGAGCAGGGGGGTTGGACTAGATGACCTTCTGGGGTCCCTTCCAACCCTTATATTCTATGATTCTATGATTCTATGATTCTATGGTGGCTGCAGTCTTTTTCATGGTTCAATGCCCAAAGTCCCCCTACACCTTGAGCAATGCAGGAATGATGGTGACCCTGTGAAGGGGAATCTGTTTGAGACTTACTCTGCAGTGGCAGCCTGCTGCTAACTAACTGTCTGCTGCTTCAGTCACAAGAGACAGCAGGCCCAATCATGCTCCCATTGAAATCAAAGCCAAGGCTCTCATTTATTTCAATGAGAGTGTAAACAGGTCCACTGACTTTCCTGGGAGTAGATAAAAAAAATTAAACAAAAGAAATAGTATTTTTCAATTCACTTCATACAAGTCCTCCTTCTTGTTCAGCTAATCTCTGAGATAAACAAGTTTGTTTATATTTATGGGGGATAATGGTGCCTGCTTTTTTACAGTGTCACCTGAAAGTGAGAACAGGCATTCATATGGCACTGTTGTAATTGGTGTTGCAAGGTATTCACATGCCAGATGTGCTAAACATTCATATGCTCCTTCATGCTCTGACTTATAGTTTTACATTGTTTTATTTTTGAGTGCAGTTATGTAAACAAAAATTCTACATTTGTAAGTTGCACTTTCATGATAAAGAGATTTCACTACAGTACTTGCAAGAGGTAAATTGAAAGATACTATTTTTTGTTTATCTTTTATACAGTGCAAATATTTGTAATCAGAAATAATATAAAGTGAACACTGTACACTTTGTATTCTGTGTTGTAACTGAAATCAGTATATTTGAAAATGTAGAAAAACATGCAAAAATATTTAAAATAAATGTAAACTGATATTCTATTATTAACAGTGTGATTAAAACTGATTAATTACGACTTTTTTTAAAATTTTATAATGAATTGTGATTTTTTTTAATCGTTTGAGAGCCCTAGTTTTTAGTGTTTCAACCTACAAGAATGTCTTTGTTTAGAAGAAGCCTTCCTAATTGGTTGTGCTGGAAAGGCCATATACCCTACAGACTCCTCTCGCTCCTCAGTGTGCCCAGTCCATCAGATTAGCCCTTCCTGCCACCAGATGAATACAAGAACATGGGACTGCCATTAGAAATAGATGTGGGCTGTTTGGACAAAGTTAACTTTCTCAGACAAAATTACTGTTTTCTAACAGACTTTGGGTAAAGATTTCCAAAGTACTTAAGTGACTTGGGAGCCAAAGTCCCATTTTCAAATGTGGTTTAGGCATCTGGGAGCCTATGTCAGACTGAAAGTTGATGGAATTTAGTCTCCATCATGCCTAAGTAACTTTTGAAAATGGGATTTAGGACTGATGTGTACTCAAGAGTGTTTGCATGGCTCTAGCTCTATTAGCTTAGAAACTGATAAAAGGGATACAACATGCTCAGAATAAACTGGAAAAGATAGAGAACAATATTACAGCAACCATAACTATTACTTGTTACAACAGAAGGCAAATCACTTCTAGGAAGATGAGTAATTTAAATTAATTTATATTTATTCAGGCTTGGATTTTCATAGCAGCCTAAGGGCTTGGCTACACTTGCAAGTTAGAGCACATTAAATCAGCCCTGGGCACCCTAACTCACGACCCATCCACAATGGCAAGGCACATAGAGCGCCTGGACTCTGCAGCTGTAGCACCCCTGGTAATCCACCTCCACGAGAAGCATAAAGCTTGCTGCACCCCAGCTGAAAAGCCCAGGTGTCAGTGTGGACCACATGTTGCATTGCTGCGCTGTGACTGGCTTCCAGAAACGTCCCATAATCCCCTGAAGTGGCCACTCTTGTCATTGTTTTGAACTCAGCTGTAGGCATGCGGAAATCCCCTTTCAAAGCTCTGTTTCTGACAGCTGGCTGCTTATCTGCTCTGGAACAAAGCAACCATTACTGTGGAACGCTGCTGCTGTGAGTGTGTGAGAGTGAGAGACGAGGGGAAGGGGGTCTGCTGCTGTCTGAACTTACAAGACAGCACGCTGACAGACACTCTGCCCCCCAAAACACAGTCTCTCCCCCCCCCCCACACACGTCACACTCCACCCTCCTTCCCCCATTTGAAAAGCACGCTGCAGCCACTTGCACACTGGGATAGCTACCACAATGCACTGCTCTTTGTGGCGTTGCAAGAGCTCCTAAGGTGGCCACGCAAGTGCGCTTGCAGCTGACAGTGTAAACACATGGCAGTGTTTTCCCTGCTGCAGTCTCCAAAGGCTGCTTTAACTCCCAGCGCTCTACACCTGCAAGTGTAGTCAAGCCCTACGACTTTGTCTACACTGCAGGTTACTTCGTTATAACTTCTGTCGCTCAGGGATGTGAATAATCCACATCCCTGAGTGACATAAGTTGCACCAACCTAAGCACCAGTGTGGACACCGCTACGCTGGCAGGAAAAGCTCTCCTGCCTCTCGTGGAGGAAGGAGTTATTAAGCCAACGGGAGCCCTGTCTCCTGTCGGCTTAGAATGTCACCACCACAAGCTCTACAGCGGTGCAGCCACATCGGTGCAGCGGCACCGGCATCGGTGTAAGTGCTGTAGTGTAGACGTAGCCTGAGAGAGTTGGGCTCAATTCCCAGGGACTTTCAATCACCTTGGAAAAACCTGGCCAAAGTACTCAGATCCTCAGTTAGGAGGCGCTAAGTAAGTACTAAGTTTGGTATTATTACATGATTGATTTGAAAGAGCGTTGTGCAGGAGGTCAGACTAGATGATCATAATGGTCCCTTCTGACCTTAAAGTCTATGAGTCTATGAGGAATGATCAGCCTAACAAGGACATTTTCCCCTTTACTGAATGTTAATAGATAACACGGTCTAATGTTTCAGATCTGAAACAATACTTGGTTGAACATATGTGGGTCCCAAAATCCAGTCCTAAGGATGAACATTTCCTGCTTCTCTAAGAGATAACTAACGTACCATTCTTTATATAGGATCTCAAGTTGAAAAGGATTTGCCACTAACAAAATGGTAGAGATGCAAGTTTCCACCTTACCCATAGTCATCAATCAGATGGGAGCCAAGCACCACTACATCAAGCTCAAAGAATTGTGGTTCCGCCTTAATGCCAAACATAATAGGAGCTAATTTTGAATAATCAGCTCGGTTGCAAGTAGCAACGCAAACCCGAAGTTTTCGGTTGTTCCCATTCTTCTCCATGATTTGTTTTTGTTTTGAAAGATTCTTGAAATACAGTTCCTGAAACAACAAAAAGCAAGGATTAGTATTTTTCTGTACAGCCATAAAATTGCACGCTTAAATAATGAAAGACATGTAATAGAATGCTATGCTATTCCAGTGTGGAAATTTGGACAAGTGCTAACTGATCAAAAGATTACCATTTAGATAACAGGTACCTTGCTGGGAAAAACATGCTTCCAATTATAGGTATAATCTAAGATTGTATGTGTGTAAATGCACGCGCATATGTGCTTTCACAAAGAAAATAGTTGTTTAGTGATTGGAATCATAGAATATCAGGGCTGGAAGGGACCTCAGGAGGTCATCTAGTCCAGCCCCCTGCTCAAAGCAGGGCCAATCCCCAATTTTTGCCCCAGATCCCTAAATGACCCCCTCAAGGATTGAACTCACAACCTTGGGTTTAAATAGGCCAATGCTCAAACCACTAAGCTACCCCTCCTCCAGTGGTTTGAGCATTGGCCTGCTAAACCCAGGGTTGTGAGTTCAGTCCTTGAGGGGGCCATATATGGATCTGGGGCAAAAAAAATTGGGGATTGGTCCTGCTTTGAGCAGGGGGTTGGACTAGATGATCTCTTAAGGTCCCTTCCAACTCTGATATTCAATGATTGAAGCAAGGGGCTGAATGTCAGGACTCCTGGGTTCTATTCCTGGCTCGGACACAGACTTCCTGTGTAACCTTAGGAAAGTCACGAAGGCCTAAATTTTCAAAAATATCCACTAATTTTGGATGCCCAATTCGAGTGATGCAAAGTCTGATTTTCAGAGATGTGGAGCTATCCTGACTTAAAATGGGAGCTGTGGATGCTCAGTTTTGTTGAATATCAGGCCCAAAAAGTCTCAGGTTAGGCATTCAAAAATTGAGGCATCCAAAAGTTGTGGACACTTGTGAAAAATGTAAGGTTTAACACCTTTGAGCCTTAGTTTACCTGACTTTAAAATGGAGATAATGATGCAAACACATTGTGAGGTTCAACTGTAATTAAAAGCCTGCAAAATGCTTTGAAATGATCAGATTAAGTGCAAAGTTAATACTATCTTCCTGGGTGACAGTCATATCCCAAAACCCCATTATGGGGAGGACTGTTGGGAGATACCAGGGCTACACTAACAAAGACATTATGTGACCACCAGAAGAAAGTAGTTCCTAAAAATTAGGCATCAACTCCTTTATCAGCAATGCAGAAACACTATGTAAGTGACGGGCTGCCACTAAATCAGGCTTGTAACTATAACCCTGATTGTGATCTCATTTGCATTGATGTAAGTTATGAGTAATTCCACTGCAGTCAATGCAATTACACCAGTGTAAAACCAGCTTGGGATCAGAATCAGGCTCTAAAACATCATAATTCTTATCACTCTTCAGCTACTACTAGATACTCAGTTCTCTCCTATTTCCCCTGACACACATGTGCAAGTACAGGACACAGTCCCCTAATTTTAATGTACCTGTATATAATAAACTGGCATTACATCTGATCTTTTTTTAAACAGATGTTCAAGCTTCACGAACAAGACAAAGTAAAAAGAATGATCAGATTATTCCTTATATTGGTGTAATGTTGTAATGGAGTATTTTATGAGTTTAAATGACAAGCTTCACAAAACAAGACAAATTTTGTACCACTCATTTTCCTACTCTGAACCTCCGCTTCAACAGAAAAGGAAGATCAGTTAAGTATCAGCTCATTGACAGGGATTCAGTTCAGAGATCTTCATAGATCAGGGGATGAAAACACAATGAACTTCTGGACTGGGGCAAGGAAACACTTACTCCCCATTCCATGGGATTCTGCGGAACTGGATCTCCACAGTGGGCTTCTACAGATCCATGAGGGTGAGCAAAAGGTGACAGGCATTTTCCTTTCATTCTCCGTTGGAGCTGTACTGCTGTGGAGACTGGAGTGGACCAGAGGCTCCAAAGACAAAGTAGAAGTCAGATCTTGGGTCTCTGTTGTGTTTAGGGGCTGAACTTCTTTTCATTCCATGGGAAAGCCATCCACAGGAAACTCAGTGAGGGAAATCTGAGTTTCCAGTTTCACACACAAGTTTGTAAGAGGCTGGTAGGGTTTACCTAACACCCCTCACCTTGTTAGCAGGTGTTGAGCCTGCTGGGAAAGGGTTCAGTGTATTAGTCAAATCCACTGAAGACTCTTGTTACCCCAATCTGGATATAAAGGAGGCAGGAGTGGCCTCTGGGGAGAGGTAAAGGCTGAGCATCCCGAGGCAGGAAACCTTCAGTGAATGTCTGTAGAACAGGGCTGAGAAAGGTGCCAGCTCACAGTTTGGTGCAGAAGTGCTGACACAGAGGAGAAAAATAAAGGCATAACGCTAGAAGTCAAAAAAGGAGAAATCTACCACAAGATACTTGAATTCACATCACTGCACACAGTGTACCTGGCCTCCTATGCCATGAGTGGTTTAAAGGAGTCAGCTTGTAACAGGCATGTACATTTAATTAAATGCTTACCAAGGGCCTGAAAAGTTAACAAGGAGTTAAAGGGCTGTGGGATCAGGGCCTGAATGTTTTCTGCCCCCACCTACACACCATTAGTCTCTTGTTGTCAAAAGGTCACTTGTCATTTCCAAACAGGTAAGCTACACAGAACAAATATTGGGAAGTCTGTCATATTGTGCATATTGCACAATAAATATCCTCCTCCCCAGAAACTCTTACATTGTTTCAATCTCCTGCTAACTAATAGTCAAATAAGAAAGTTATATCCTCCTACAGAAGTGACTCAGTTTTTGTGGCTTCATATTAATATATTAGGTAAATACTTCCTTCTATTATGCCTTCCCGAGGCGTCACAGACCTCTTTTCCTCACTGCTCCATAGCAAATCCCGCTTCTGTTAACTTGAGTCCTGAGATCACTCAACCCTGATAGTTCATGAACACGCACAGTATAACATTAAGCTAATTAGATCAGAACACTCATAGAAACTGAGTTCTTCCTAAGATCAGCAGACTTGCTTCTAGCAAAGCCATGTCTTGATCTGAAGTTGCTGCCTTTTAAAGTTTATCTTCACTGGCAGACCATCTTGTCTTCCTCATTAACTTTTCCCATCTTTAGTTTGAGTCACTACAGTTTCCTAAAATCCTGAATGAAGAGTTTAGATTTCAGTTACTGTGAGGAGGCTCTCTGTAAACGTGGCCAAATACTGTACTGCCAATGCATATCTCTTTATAGGCCAAAATGCATCAAGGTTACAGTAATATTACAACAGTCCGAACACCACATTCTCTTTTTTAATCAGATATTTTTATATCACTTTTTGGAAATGAATCAAAGATTATTTTAAAAAACTATCATGCAGTTCAGTGGAATAATGTGGGCTGTATTTTAAAAGTGAACCTGTCAATTTAAAAGCCACACCTCTTTTCAAAACCTTCTGTAGTTACTGTTCTTACAAGTAACACTTACGATTACTATACTTGAAAGATTAGAGAAAAATATTTTTGCACGTCTACACTAGAGCTCTTACAGCAGCACAGCTGTACTGATGCAGCTGCGCTGCTGTAAGATCTCTTGTGTAGTCGCTCTATGCAGATAGGAGTAGGCTCTCCCCTTGACATAATTAAACCACCCCCAACGAGCAGCGGTAGCTTTGTCAGTGGGAAACACTCTGTCACAGATATAGCGCTGACCACACTGGCGCTTCTGTTGGTGTAACTCGTGTCGCTCAAAGAGGTGTTTTTTCACACCTTTGAGCGACATAAGTTATACCAACAAAAGTGGGAGTGCAGTCATAGCCTCGGTTTCACTGTTTCCTCATAAGAGTTCATTGGTCAGTTTACCCTGCTGTTTGTGTGGGTATTACACACAGCAACAGAGGAGACATACTTTGTAGAAATAAAAAGAAAAGGAGTACTACGCTCAAATAAATGTGTTAGTCTCTAAGATGCCACAAGTCCTCCTTTTCTTTTTGCGGATACAGACTAACACGGCTGCCACTCTGAAATTTGTAGAAATAGAAACCTGTGGTTGTGAAAACACAAAAATAGGTAGGGGAAACTTGGTAGCAGGTGCACTACCTGAAAGCTACTTTTAACACACTTCTTGAAACAGGACAGCTTTTAAAATTATAATAATGTCCTTTTGACAAGTTATGAAAACTAGGAACTGAAAATCTCCTACAATATTTCTCAGTGTTTCATTTTTGTGTAATAACATGTTAAACAAAAGGTTTCACTTTTCCAGAATGATCCAGAAGCAGGACTGTTCAACTTCAATTGAATCAAATAAACAGAATACATTTTAAAAAACATTTTTGTTCTGTTTTGATAAATAGGTGAACAACTTAGCATGTACAGCTATACAGGTATGTCAATTAACTTCCTTCTGTGGCTTCTCCCACACATACTACTACCTCTATGGTTGGGCCCTTTTAAGAGCCAGGCAGTGAGTTCCCAGGCAGGACAGAGCCTTTAATTACACTGCACCAGAGCAGGACTGATTTCACGCTCACTTTTGAAAGACTGCTTCCTTCTGCCAAACCAAATATCTCGGCTATCTATCTGGGCACAAGCACCAGCCCTTCTCTTAATTATGCAATGGCAGGAATTTCAGACCCTCTAGAGCATTGCTTAGGGGCTGCCATGTCAGTAGCACAAAGCACTACTCACAAGAGTTAAGAATGTTACCACCACTCCCTAATTAACTAAATGAAAGGCCCTGGGATTCAAACTCTGACCCTCCATTTGGCAGCTGGTGCAATAAGCTAGCACTAGGCCATCCTTCAAAGTAGACTTTTACTATCCTTCTGAAATTCTTTAGAGTCTTAAGAATTAGATTTCTTCTTGCCCAATTTCAAGTGCAGCTGGAAAAGTTTTCTGTATTTACGAAGTTTGACCATTCAAAGACACATATGAAAAGCTATCACATTTAAACAAACATGAAGTAGAAAAATAAAAATGAACTGAGCAACTTTTACAACACAGGCTGTCAGTGGTAGACATTATATCATTTACTGGGCAATAAAGGCAGTTCCTTTTATTAAAAGGGTAATGGAAAAAGCTAGAACACAACAGGCTACCAAATCTAGGATTTATTTTTAAACCTATCCTTTTAAGTTTAAGCAAAACACAACAGGCCAGTTCAATTAGCTGACTTTTCTCAATCTGTTTCTCAGAAACATTTCCAGTTTGAGAATTTTATAGAGCAATTGCACCTAGTTTCCCCTGAAAAATCACACATGTGACATGTAGGGGCTCTGGCTATGCGGGCTGCAAGAAACTATCAGTCAGGAACTAGTTTCCTTCAGGCGTTTCAGTGCTTTAAACTCAAGACTTCAAACTAGTTATGGGGTAAGAGACCTGATCTGGTTAATTGAGCCCCAAACCAGAAGCTCTACTTTCCCTCCGTGTCAGGAAGGGGTTACCACTGCTATCCATTTAATTATGTCTCCAGCATGACAAATCTATTTTCTCTTTTATACAGTTGGAAACCTTACCTTTCGCTTTCCTCTATGCAAACTGCAGTGAAGTAAAAAGGATTAAATATTAATATATATGAAAAGAAGCTATGCTAACTTCCATTGGCGAATTCCACCGACTTTTCACTTCCTCTACACAAACTGCAATGAAGGTAAAAGAGGATTAAATATTAATGTATAAGCAGCAGCTCTCCTATCTACCACTGGCTAATTCTAACCCCCGCTCATTTTTTTTTTTTAAAAAAGAAACTGTAAATCATGTTTAACTCCTAAATCACTGCACAGACTGGTTTCTAACTCCTCAGCTAAAAAAGCATAATACCTAACAAAACAAAGAGCTAACCTCCAGTACTCTGTGGGCCAAGTTATGTCAAGGGTACAATACACCTCATTACATTACAATGGATTGTCTTTAATGTCTCATCTAACGGGCATACTGCACCAGATTTAATCTCCTGGGGTTTTTTGTTTTAACCTTTATACATTCCCTCTACAACTGAGGTTTGGGGGAAGGCTAATATTGAGATTACTGCTGGAGCTATATTCTGAAGAAGCAGATAATGGCCCTAGCTAAGACTGCATGAGTCAAGAGTAAGTCAGATGAGCCCAAGTGGAGGGGATGGAAAAGTTTGCCCCAAGTTTTGAGCAAGCAAAGCAATACTAAAATGGACCACTTAAAGTCACAGACATTTCCACTTTTTCTAAAGCAGCAGTAGACTATTATCTTCTCAGATGGACATTATTTCTACTTTCTACAGCTGATTAGTTGAGTTTAGTAATCCTACTACTCAGAGAACTCATCACTAACAGCAAGGTTTCTCCCCTAGCCCTGTCACCTGCTCCAGAGTCCCCTTCCCCTCCTATTTCATGACCTCACTCTTAACCCCTCCTTAGCCTCTCTACTCCCTCTGGTTCTTTCCTCTCATAATAGAAGTCTGTTCTGATCTTCCCAAAGGCCCCACGTACCTGTAGCAAACTGAATTTAAATTCTGCAGCTGACTGCAAAGTTTGTGGCAACTTCATGACTAAATATTCCCCTTTTTATAACAGGAAGGAAATATAAATATGAATAGACACAGCGAAGTAGTCCCTTTTATAAACCATTATACTAAATTCAATTTAGTTTATGCCATCCCCACATTTTCAATGTGCTGCAGATATTTCTACTGACAATGCATAATTCCATCATAGAAGTTGTCAAAGGAGAATGAATAAGAAATAGCTGGGGCTTTTAGCAACTATAGAGTTGAAAGAGGCCATCTGGGATTGTGATAAGCACATCATCTAGATCTTTGTGCAAAAATGATCAGCAATGAAATAGTGCTAACATTAAATTGTCATTAGGTTTCCGATGAAACGCTGCTCCGCTTAGAGGAAACGAGCAGTCTGTAACTCTCAGATATCGTTCAAGCTATCTGCATGCTTAGACAGGCAACGCTCTATTGACTTAACCTTGAAAACATGATCCAAGTATATCTTTGTAAATATGAAGAAAGGAACATTTCATTTAAATAAAAGTTAAGATTCAGGACCACAACACCATCGCAAGGTGCAGATTTCACAGCAAATCCTGCAATTTGGGAATTTACAGGGTCCTGTAGTGTTCTTATCCTCAAAAAGGCTCTCCCATTGACTCCAACTACTGCTTTATCTCCCTTCAAATCCAAACTCATGGAACCCTCCCCCACACTCCTCCGTCTACAACTTTTGCCTTAAATCCCTCTCCTTCAACTCCATCCTGGATCCCTTCCAGTCTGCTTTCCATCTTCTCCAGGCTACACTATTATCAATACCTCCAATAACCTCAGAAAGAAAAAGGTTGAGAACCTTTGGTCTAACTAATAAATTACAAATACATAGAGACTTTCAAACAGTGATCTCACAGTGATTTATAAAAGTGAATACGTATTCCCCTATTTACAGTTGGAGAAATTGAGACACAAAGATGTGAACTGACTTTTCCAAGGATACAGAGAGAAGGAGTGACAAAGTCATGAACAGATCCCAGGTCTCCTTATTCCAAGTCATGTGCGCTAAACATCAGACACCCCAACTCCCTTGAGACAGGATTTTTATCTGTTTATTTATGCAAAATAGGCTTAAAAAGTAGTATTGGTTCAATTAACTATTCTAGCTTTCCATTCAATTAAGTATTCTGTCGTTCCAGGCCCTTCTGGAAAAAACTCTTATTTTAATATCCTAAGGCCATTCAACTAATATCTAGATAAGATCGCCCACCCTAGATGATGAAAGAATTCACCCTGAGGATGCCAGAAGTAAAAGAATCTCTTGAGACACACAATAATGACGAATCTGTAGAAAATTAAGTAGACAGATTGCACATCTGCATAGCAAGACATTTTAAACTTAAATGATCAGCTACTGCCTGCTATAGCAATGGCCTCTTACAACTAGTTTGTAAAGTATCAGCAGAAATCAAAGGCAGATTGTTATGACACCTGCTCTGAGTTGGCTAGAAACAAAAGAAATTTGTACTGTAGAAGAGCATTTCAGTTACATTTAGTACTAATAAGTTTCAATCAACCCGCAGCAGCATTATTTTTAGTTTTGAGTTTAACCTCTGTAATGTTTGGATTCAACAATGAAACTACAACAATAATTAGTACTGATCTGAACAGTTTTTTGTCCTGATATAACTGTTTCAGTTAGGGGTATGATTATTTTTAACCCATATACTTTTATCAGTTCAAACCCTCGTGTGGGCAGTTATTGGTACAATGATACTAGGTGAGCTGCACCACTTCAGCTGTGTCAGTATAGTTAAAGCTGGTCTATACACAAGCCCTCAGTGGTGGCCTTGTACTCGGATTCTGAGTTCTAAAGAAATAGAATCTTTCAATTGGATGACACATTGCAAGAAGCAATTAAGAGCACAGACAGAAGTTATTCTCCCTTATAGGCTCAAAAGAGATGAGAGTTGAGATCTGATTTCTGTGTGTTTGAACTTCTCCCAAGAAATTTCTACTGTGATGTAGCTAGCCAAAGTGAATACAATAATCCCTACCTGGGTTTGACCTCACCTAGCTCCACCATGGTAAAAGCTTGTCTCTATTAGGATTTTATAGCAAGATAGAGAGCTAAGGCACCTTAGTTCTCTTTCTGTAAAAAACAAACAAACAAACAAAAAAACCGGCACCTTTTTTGGCAGAGAAGATATAGGCAAAACCCTTTTTAGCTGTTTCCTTACACTGTGCTCTGAAGCAGCTTTCCCTACTATTAAATGGGAGCCACCTCTGCCACAGAATGTAGACCCATCTTGGCAGGGGATGCATAGATAAAAACTAGTAAAATTTGTTTATACTTTACATTACATACCTTTAATTTATGCATTAAGTGCCTATTCTGCAGTACTGAAACCAATGGAAAAACGGCCACAAAATTAAATAGGCCTTAAATGCCCAATTCTGAAAAGTCCTCTGTAACCTCAGCTTCCACATAAGCCAAGCAGAGGAGTGGACACTCAGTGCCTTCCGTGTATAACATCTTTCAGAACGAATTAACCACAGTGGAATGTAAGGTGTTGGTTTGGTGCCATGTAGTCTTCAATGGTTTGGGATTTTCATGTCTGAACAACCACTTCTCTCTCCAGGCTGTGACCAGTGGAGCCCTCTCTTTTCAATATAGGGGAGAGCTAGTCAGACAGCACTCATCATGAGAAATCAGCTCAGCCCACCTTGACCGCAGCCAGTCTGGGCCTGTTGGCCTTCATAAGGAAGTGAAAGAAATATTTAACAAACCCGTAAATGACAGCCCCTGCGCTTTATCCTGGATCCAGGGCACTGGAGACGCAGGTGGCTCTTTAACCCAGGGAGAAAACAAGAAGGAAACTGGGCAATCACACGACGGGCACAGAACTAAGAAGAGACAACCTGAAACTAGGCCCAGGAGAAACAGCAGTCCCTGCCCCCAAATCCTGAGGGTGCCTGTGAGGGGGTCCCCTTGTCTCCCCCTCCCCACTGAGGGCAGGGGCTGAGTCTCCCCCGCCCCGTGTGGGTGGCGGGATCATTCCCTTTACCCTCCCGCACTGAGAGCCGGGGCTGAGTCCCCTCCCTCATCCTGTGTATGTGAGGGGGGGTCATTCCATTTACCCCCCCCCCGACAGCAGGGGCTGCGATCCCTCCCCCCACCGCGCATGGGGGTCTCGCCCCGCCCCCGCCCGGGGCTGTGACGCGCTGTGGCAGGGGCGGGGCTATCTCCCGGCGGGGGACGGGCCCTGCCCCCGGGGCGATGGCGCCAGAGCCCCGACACTCCCCGCCCGCACCTCACCTCCGCTCCGACCCCGCTCGGCCGCGATGGAGGCGCTCGGCACGTTCAGCCACCGGCTCGGGCCGCGCGCGCAGCGAGCGCCGAATCATCGATCCGCCGGGGCTGGGGGGGGGGGGGCGGACGGCTCGTCAGAGAGCCCCTCCCCTCACAGCCCCCGGCGTGGGGGAGCTTAGCCCCGCCCACAACCGCTGGGCGCGCGGCCCTTCCCCTCACAGATCCAGATGGGGGGGGGGGCGCCCTTCGTAGCCCCTCCCGCCCCCTCCCCAGCCTCCCATCCCCTGGTAATCGATGTCCGGCACCGTTCTGCTTTGGGGACAACCCCCATGACAGTCTTTGTGTTGCAGGTATGGAGAAGTGTGGTTGGCTAGGGTTAGTATTTATGACTGTGACTCTTCCTTTGATGGATCACGTACTGGCCTTTACCAAAGGCTAGCTACTGCACTCGAGAGGTGAGCCGAGAGTCTGCTTTGCTGTGGCAAATCTTCTGGTGCTAACGAAATATCAATCCTGTCTAGCCTGTGGGCATCAGGTACTTGCATTCTGGGTTATTTTCTCAAGCAAAATTGCACTGATGAACACACATCAATATAGCAAGTGGAGAGGCTCTGTGCCCCTACACTTCTGTCTCTTTCCATCACAAGCCTATTAGCCCTAATTGCTGCTGCTGCTGCTGCTGGATGTGTCTGGAAGAGAGTAGACGCATGTGTAAATGGCGAGCATGTGGACTGGAGCACACTTATCTTTTCTTTGGAGGAAAGAGCATACCCTTTCTGAGGTGTAGTTTTTAGCAGCTTTCAGAGTAGCAGCCGCGTTAATGAACATAAAAACTTTAACGGGACAAATATTAAGTGTTTATGTAGTTAAGATCTTTATTTACTTGAAGGGGAATTTTGCCTGAGTCAGTCTTGAATAACGACTGCAGGGTTTGTCTTCAGAAAAATTCCAGCGTCTCACTTCACTGAGTTTTGTGGAAAGCAAAAGAATTAACTGTAGGACATACAGTAAGTCCCCAAAATGGGCTGTGCTGCAACAGTGAGTCATGGCCTTTCAAAGCGCCAGTGACTTATACATAATTGCAGTATGCCTTCTTCTCAGATTACCATTACAACCGTGAGGATCCTAATTTGAAATGCTGATCGGAGGTAGAAGCAGCAGCTGGGAGGGACCCTGGACTGAATTCCTGGCAGACTTAAGCTGTTTTCATAAATTTCTGCATAACAGTGAATATTTATGTATATTGTGCACATTGCTTAAAACTCTATGCATGTTTAAAAATGTCACTATACATTAGTGCACTGTGTCCTTTGCACATTTCTTTGGTCCCTGATATGATTTCGTGAAAATGCATTCACTGGAATGAAAAGTTTAATGATCTTTCAGAGTTAATTAGCCTTTTTTGAAAAGATATATTTTGAATGTTTCTCATGGCTGCACAAGAAATACACACGTGGATTTAAGTGTGTTGGGGATTAATGATCCTTTATGTATAGAGCCCTGCGTGGATATAACATTTGTATCTACATCTGATCCGCACTCCGCAAAAACAGTCCGCGGAAATCTGCGGAGTTGCAGGGGTTTATTTATGCAGAATCCTTAGCCTTTTAATCGACTGTCTACAGAGGTATTATACTATAATGGTGTGTCCAGCAGCCCGCAATTCAATCTTTTCTAAAACAGAAAGAAGAAAGAGTCCTGTAAGGATGAACACTTGCCCTCTTGCTTTGCCACCCTCCCCGCCCCCCCTCACATCATCAGGTATCAGAGTAACATCCGTGTTAGTCTGTATTCACAAAAAGAAAAGGAGTACTTGTGGCACCTTAGAGACTAACCAATTTATTTGAGCATAAGCTTTCGTGAGCTACAGCTCACTTCATCGGATGCATACTGTGGAAACTGCAGAAGACGTTATATACACAGAGACCATGAAACAATACCTCCTCCCACCCCACTCTCCTGCTAGTAATACCTTATCTAAAGTGATCACTCTCCTTACAATGTGTATGAAAATCAAGGTGGGCCATTTCCAGCACAAATCCAGGTTTTCTCACCCCCCACCCCCATACACACACAAACTCACTCTACTGCTGGTAATAGTTCATCCAAAGTGACCACTCTCCCTACAATGTGCATGATAATCAAGGTGGGCCATTTCCAGCATAAATCCAAGTTTAACCAGAACGTCTTGGGGGGGGGGTAGGAAAAACAAGGGGAAATAGGCTACCTTGCATAATACCCCCCCCCCCCCAGACGTTCTGGTTAAACTTGGATTTATGCTGGAAATGGCACACCTTGATTATCATACACATTGTAAGGAGAGGTTTCAGAGTAACAGCCGTGTTTGTCTGTATTCGCAAAAAGAAAAGGAGGACTTGTGGCACCTTAGAGACTAACCAATTTATTTGAGCATGAGCTTTCGTGAGCTGTAGCTCACGAAAGCTCATGCTCAAATAAATTGTAAGGAGAGTGGTCAGTTTGGATGAGCTATTGCCAGCAGGAGAGTGAGTTTGTGTGTGTGTTTTTTGGGGGGGGGTGGGGGGTGAGAAAACCTGGATTTGTGCTGGAAATGGCCCACCTTGATTATCATGCACATTGTAGGGAGAGTGGTCACTTTGGATAAGCTATTACCAGCAGGAGAGTGAGTTTGTGTGTGTGTTTTTTGGGGGGGTGGGGGGTGAGAAAACCTGGATTTGTGCTGGAAATGGCCCACCTTGATTTTCATACACATTGTAAAGAGAGTGGTCACTTTGGATGGGCTATTACCAGCAGGAGAGTGAGTTTGTGTGGGGGGGGGAGGGGAGAGAGGGTGAGAAAACCTGGATTTGTGCTGGAAATGGCCCAACTTGATTATCATACACATTGTAAGGAGAGTGATCACTTTAGATAAGGTATTACCAGCAGGAGAGTGGGGTGGGAGGAGGTATTGTTTCATGGTCTCTGTGTATATGATGTCTTCTGCAGTTTCCACAGTATGCATCTGATGAAGTGAGCTGTAGCTCACGAAAGCTCATGCTCAAATAAATTGGTTAGTCTCTAAGGTGCCACAAGTACTCCTTTTCTTTTTGCATCATCAGGTATGTGGACCAAGGCATCCTCTCCTACTTCAAAGACTGAGGGAACTCTCTCCACATCCCTAGAGCCTTAGAGAGCAGGCCCCACTATTACCACTGAAGACTAGGCAGTGACAGAGGCAACACTCTACCCTGCCCTGCTTCAGCAAGCCTTGGTCACTCCAAATCTGTAATGATCTCTGTGAAGATGAACCCCTGTGCCCATGCAGAGCCCAATTGACTGCAGTGGGGCCATCATAGGGCTCCCTGCCAGATTGGGGCCTCAGGGATGACAAAGAACAGTTGGACTTCTCCTCCCCTCTCGTACCTGTGCAAAGCTGTAGTAACCCTTGCAGCCCCGGTGTGAGATTGTGGGAAGAGGGACAGATTCTGGACAAGGAATAGCAGAGTGCAGGAGGTGGGGACCTTATTTACACAACACTTCTCTCCAGTTCTTGATTTGCATCCCCCAGTCGCTCAGAGGGGTTTTGATATTACAAAGTGGGCAATCCTCTCTTTAATTTGCTGCAGGTCCAATATTCATGACCTGTAGCCCATGGAGGCTGTGGGTAGTGCAGCAGAAAGTATCAGGAGCCCATAGGATATGAGAGAGAGAATCAAGAGGTCTACCAAGGTGGTCTGAAAATAATAAAATTGGCACATGGCAGAACCAACACAACTACAGTATTTTTGCATCATTCAATAAGTTTAATATCCTAAAACGTTGTCCCTGTTACTGATAAAAGGCACTGGCTAATTTCTCCTGAAGAGTGCACCTGTCCATCTAATGCTAGCTTTGCTAGCCACAATTTTTTTGAAGTGAATACTCTCTCTCTCTGACCTTGTTAATACAAGCAATAGCAGAAGACGACATGAAAAGTATCGTAATGAACCTGCTTGTATCATGTTCAGTGGAACTGGAGTCAAGAGGGCCAGTGTTCCCTGGAGGGACTGTTATGGACAGGACACCAGTGGAACAGGGAACCTGGGAAATTAGGCTGGCAGCAACTCAGCGACATGGACAGGGCTGTCCACAGGTGGGACAGCCACCTGTCCAGGTTGTCCTGGGATCATCCTGTTTGAGGTAGCCATCCTGGGACCTCTGAATGGGTGCTCAGTGCACATGACCAGCTGTCCAGTTTTAGGGGTTCAGGATCATCCTGGATGTCCCATTGGTTTGTATCTCAGAGGTGGCAAATCACATCACAGGGCTTAATAAAGTTACACTTCTACTTAACCTACATTCAGCTACCCTCTTTGTGAATGAAATGCTGCTGGCTCCTTACTGGGTACTGCGCTAACCTTCCCATGCAACATCCAGTTAGAAGAAAGCTCCCTCATTGCTCTAGTCTGGGAAAGGGAAGTTAGTGGGATTTAGCACCAGAAGGAGCGGAAGCAGCAGTGACAAAGCCAGTCAGTTTAGGAGCTGGGACTGAAGCGCTCAGAATGGGATGCAGCCTTTTGCCGTCAAGGGGGCCCATGGTAGCTGCAGCTGGCGGATAACCTAATGGCCTACAAATAGAGATCTGTGTGGGTGGGCCCAAATGAGGCTACACATGTGGGATAAAAGGACTGGATTCTGTCCAAGGGAGCTGCAGCTGGTGCATGATTGACTCCAGGGCAAGGGGTGGCCTGGATTGAGCATCCCTAGCACTGGGCTGGCAGACCCCCACCTTCATCCGACTGGACTGGAGTGCTCTTAGGGGCTGGGCTGGGGCCTGTTATGGGTTGTATCATTTTTTGTTGGTAACCCAAAGCAGTGGTACCTGGGGAAGTTGTAGTATTTATTTCCAGCAGTCCTAGAAAAGCCTCCTTTGTTAAACATCAGCATCTGGGAGTAAGTATGGGCACCCACTGAGGGCCAGAGCCCGAAAGGCCTGGCGGCTGGAGTACCTACAATGGCATGTGCCTCTAGGAGTGTCATGGAATCTCCAGGAATTAAAGATTAATATGTAATTAAAGATTATGTCCTGTGATGAAACCTTCAGGAATATGTCCCAAAAAAATGGACAATTCTAGTGCCTCAGCACATGTGGTGCACTCAGCATGCTACCAAACATCTAAGGGGGTACCACAACTGACCTGCATACCGTATTACCAGTGTAATAGTCACTAATTCATGGCTATGGAGACCATTGTACTAGCCAAATACCATATTACAAAAGTGATTTTAACATACATTTCATTTACGCTATGGGACTCTGATGCTGCGTTTCTTTGCATGGGAGTTTTGCCTGAGTAAAGCGTCTAGGACTAGCCAGTTGTCAGCATGTACTGCATCTAAGATGGAGCTACTTCGTGTTCCTTTGTATAACTAACTCTTCATTTGCATTAAGTGTATTTATACTGAAATTGAGACCTAACTAATGACAGGGATGTGAAAATTCAGGCCAAGATTTTTAAAAGCAACTCGCAACGTTGGGCACAGCAGAGACGAGGCAGCCAAACTTAAATCACCTTAACAGGGGTCTGAACTTTACAGGACAGCCGCTCAGCATTGTCTAAGAATCAGGCCCCTGCAAGGTATCTAAAGTTGGGCACCCAAATCACTAGTCACTTTTGAAAGTCTTGTCCCTAGGGCACAGTCACTGTGAATTACCTCAGTAATGGATGTACCGCAGGACCGTCCTGCCCAGCCCTTGAGCTCCTGGCCAGGGAGGCTAGCCCCCAGTACCTCCCCTGCTGTCACCCCTCCCCTGCAGCCATGCCGGGAGCACAGCTGGCTCCAGCTGGGTGGCGGGGCTGCGAGCTCCTGCTGCTCTCAGCTGCATGGTAAGGGGGCATGGAGTGGGGGGATTGGATAAAGGGCAGGAGGTCCTGGGGACAGTCAGGGGACAGGGGGTGGGGTCCTGGGGGGCCTGTCAGGGGGTGGGGGTGTGAATAGGGGTCGGGGGGGCAGTCAGGGGAGAGGGAGCAGTGGGGGTAGGCTAGGGGGTGAGGTCCCGGGTGGGGGCAGTCAGGGGACAAGGAGCAGGGGGGAGGTTGGATGGGTCAGGGGCTCTGAGGGGGGCAGTCAGGGAGTGGGAAGGGGTGGATAGGGGGCAGGGGCCAGGCTGTTTGGGGAGGCACAGCCTTCCCTGCGCGGCCCTCCATACAGTTTTGCATCCCGATGTGGTCCTCGGGCCAAAAAGTTTGCCCACCCCTGCCCTGTATGAATTTACTATAACAGTACCAAGCAACAAGTACTACTTGTTATAAGCACCAAAGAAAAATATTAGAGCAGTCAGGAAGGAGGGAGGGGTTGGATGGGGCAGTGGGGGGCAGTCAGGGGACATGGAGAAGGGGTGGTTGGATGGGGTAGGGGTCCCGGGGAGGCAGTAAGGAAGGAAAGTGGGGGTTGGATAGGGCGGCGGGGGGGCAGTCAGGGGCAGAGGTTCCGGGGGCGGTCAGGGGACAGAGAGAAGGGGTGGTTGGATGGGGCAGGGGTCCCGGGGGGGCCGTCAGGGAATGGGGTGGGGGTTGTATGGGGCAGGAGTCCCAAGGGGGGGGCTGTCAGGGGGCGAGAAGCGGGGGGGACCGATAGGGGGTGGGGGCCGGGCCACGCCCCCTCTCCCCTAACCAGCTCTCCATACAATTTTCGAAACCTGATACATCCCTCGGGCCAAAAAGTTTGCCTGCACCTGCTGTAGAGTGACATCTTGATTCGGACGAAAAGAAAAAGCAACCCCCATTGTGGGGATTAACATGGGTGGAAGAGTCAGATAGGGACCTGATCCAAAGTCCATTGAAGCCAATAGGCTCCCATTGCGCTTTGGATCAGGCCTATAATCACAGAAGTGTAGGACTAGAAGGGACCTCCATAGTCATCTAGTCCAGTCCCCCTGCACTTAAGGCATGTAGCTCGGAAGCCCTAGGCTCATTTGGTTACAAGTGAAGATGGATATAATGGTCTTGTCTTGTCCTCATTTGTGCACATCAAAAACCCACCCGGACACAACTGGCAATCTGCTCAAGAGGTGCTGTAGAGCCGCCCTGCCAGTGTGTCGCACGTATTGGGGTGAATTAGCACTGCTGTGTGAGGACGGATGTACAGCACCTGCCTGACCCACACCAATATCTTAGAGCCTCAATTTTCATTAGCTTCAATAAACTTGGTAAACATGAGTCAAAATCCACAACCCTGGCTCAGCCCTGAATGGAACAGCTAATGTAAGTCTGGCTAACAAACCAGGATATACTCCTACAAGAACGTCACCCTGCAGTTGACTTAGGGAAACTTCCTGCTTGTTTAAATTGTTCAAACTATGATTTACGCAGAAAATAAACATACGCAAAATAAATCTTTAGTTGCAGCTACACAGGAATGAATGGAGCTACTTGTCCTTACTCAAATCATGTATGCAATGGACAAAAGCCAAATAAGACCTCTAGTCTGATACAGCTCAATATTGAGAAACTGACATCATTACATCCTAAAACACTGCACAAAACCCATAACGTAGCCTGGACTCTGGCACTAAGATTGCGTCTCCTCCCCCCCCCTTCCCCCCCCTGCAATTTATTTGAGTATGAGCTTTCGTGAGCTACAGCTCACTTCATCAGATGCGGTGAGCTGTAGCTCACGAAAGCTCATGCTCAAATAAATTGGTTAGTCTCTAAGGTGCCACAAGTACTCCTTTTCTTTTTGTGAATACAGACTAACACGGCTGTTACTCTGAAACCATTCTTATTCAACAAAGCACTTAGGCATAGGCTTACGTCCATCTCTATTCAGCAAAGCACACATGCTTAAAATTAAGCATGTGCTTTGCTGACTAGAGATAGATGTAAGCATACACTTTCCTGAATCGGGGCTTCTAGTAGCACCTAGAGGCCCTAACTGGGTTCCTAGCCCCATTGTGCTAGGGGCTGTACACAGAGATAGTCCACGCCCTCAAAAGATTACAGTCTAAATACACAAGACAGACAAATGGTGGAGGGAAGAGATGATGTAAGTGATTTGCCCCAGGTCAACCAGCAGAAGAGCTGGGAATAGAACCCCCGTCTATTAAATTCCAGTCTAGCATGCTATCTGTGCTGTCTCTCTAAGCAAATTAATCTGGTTACTGAAATGGAGCGGGTCGGAACATGCGTGCTAAGGGTGGGTGGGAGATGAGTGCTAGGAGTTGGGGTGCAGGAAGCAGGCTGTGCGGGTGAGGGGGTGGTGGGCGGAACTGGACCATACTTAACATTGGGTGTCACCTCATGGCAGTGGCCATCATCAATCTTTGTTTTCAGATGACTTTTGTGTGAATATGGACCTGAGCAAATTGCTGGATTTGTGTACAGATCAGATCCAAGCAGGGGATTTGTCCCAGCTCTACTTTTTGAGCTCAGCAGTAGGGTTTGACGTTACTTTTGTAAACAGGTGATTAATTCCACTTTGTGCTGAACTGGTTGTCTCTTGCAGGAGTGCTTCAACCAATACTGAACAGGTTGGAATCTAGTCAGTTTTTTTAAAAAGAGTGGGTTACAGGGAGTGGCTGTATGTAAGGGTCTGTCACACAACAAAGGAAACTGACAGCTCAGGAGAAACAGTGAAACTAACGATACAGAGTGCTGTCAAACGTGGAAAGAGAACTGAAAAACAGAAATATTTTTCTTTCATTGCTTTCAGTTGATGTCATCTTGAACACTACACTACATCATACACACTGCCTCTCAAAATGAACGACATTTTATGTTTAAGTGCTCTGCTGCCCACCCTGAAGTCTGACACCAGGGTCCTTGGACTTGGGTTAAAACAACAGCATGTCAAAAACGGAGAAATAAGTGTGATTATTTTTTAAAAAGCATCAAGACTGCAGTCAATGGGCCTAATCTTCCATCCATTGGCGCCACTGCTTTCAGATGGAGCAGGACGTATGGAATTTCTGCCCCAGATTCTGTGGGAACTTGGGGAAAGGCTGCAGGACTTTTTAAAAGGAAATTAACTCAAAAACATATTAAAAACCACTACCTTATGTTTTATAAAGAGCTATTTGTATCCTAAGGCCTTGATCTGGCAAAAACTTAAGAACGAGTAGCTTTATGCATGTGATAGTTCCACTGAGTTAAAAGTTATTCTCTCACATAAGAAGAACATTAAAAAGAAAAGTTATTTCTACTGTGAATTAATAAGAAGCAGTTCAATTTCACTGCTTTTGTTCTGTGCTTGTACAGCACCAGCGTAATGTCCATGATTGCGGCTCTTGATCTGTGCCTAATAAATAATATCCTTTTTGTTGTATCCCATTCCTTACCCTTTATCTGTTTATTTGGACCCCAATCCAGCACACCACTTAAGCATGTGCGTACTCCCATTGAAGTTCAGTTTTTACAAATATAACGTCAAGAACCTTTTTTCAAAAATTAAATCTTATTTTATGTTGAAAACAATAGGAATGCTACAAGACATCACAGACCTTAAATCCACGTTAGAGCTTTTTTCTGTGGAACTGTACTTATCTTCTCTGGTGCTCGTGACCTTGGTGTTATCTTTTGAGCACGCTGCCAGCCACGCAGGAATCTAACATTGTGAGCAGCCTAGGTCCAGCTGCAGTATAAAGCATGAAGCAACAGTAATACATTTCTCAATATCAACAAAACAACAGAGGCTGGTGATGCTTCTGGCGGGAAAGACTCGATGTTAAATAAAGTAGGCTCTGAGGACAGATATTACTGCACATATTTGCTTGAGGGGGGAAGAACTGAAACTGATCGTCTACTGATCGTTCTTCATGATTTTTTTCAGTTTAAATTATCAAGTAATATTCAAAAAGAAATTATCTTTTTGTAATACAAGCTGATAATAAGAAATGCAGCATCACACTGTGTCTTGCTGCCCTATTTTATATTTCACATTTTTAACCCAGATCCAAGGACCCTGGTGAACTGTAGTTCAATTCTGAGAGGCAATGTGATCTAGTGCATGCAGCACTGGACTGGGACTCAGAAGACCTGTGTTCTATTTCTCACTCTGCCATTGGACTCCCAGGTGACATTGGGTAAGTCACGTCCCCTCTCTGTGCCTCAGTTTCCCCTCCCACCTTTTGTCTGTTGTGTCTACTTACACCGTATAAGTTCTTCAGGGCAGGGACTGTTTCTCACAGTCCTGGCTCCACTGAAGTCAATGGGACTTTGCCTTCAATAGGATCAGGACTTCTCTATTTGTTTGTGCAGCACCTGGCACAGTGGACTTGGGGCCTCTTGACACTCTCATATAGAAATAGTAATAATAATAATTTAGTAGACATCAGAGAAGATCAGTCAATAGCAAATTTGACCAGTAAGAAACCAGTTTTAAAGGTAATTTCCCCCCCCGCCCCCACTGAACATTTTAAAACCAGTGCTGGTTATTATAAATTCACTGTTGATAGAGCAGGATTAGGAGTCGACTTGGCTATATTAATTTCTTAAAAGTTATGAGTATTCATTTTCTTTCCCCAGGTCAGTAACTATATTGCCAGTCCTACTCTGGTTATAGGATTTTCTCCAAACATACCGATTAACAAAACAGTGCAATACATGCGTGCCTCTCTTTAATTTGCATGGAAGACACCCTGCTTTTTTAAAGGGCTGTGCACAAAAGCATGAAGATCTTCATTTTGCCCATATGTCTCTTTTGCTTCTGAGTCCCCAGATTTCCTTAGGCAACCTAAAATGGTTGCAAAGAGTAGTGCATGCTGCATGTTTATAATGGCTGGCTGGGCACAGTGGGAGGCGCCCCCTGCATAGTGCAGAGAGCTCTAGGAGACATTGTGTCTCTCTCTGTGTGCAACATGGGACTCCCTGTGGGGCAGGCTGCCTTCAGATTGCTCCTAACAAGGGCCAGGAATTCACTGCCACAAGCTGGCCGGTTGGGTATAATCCAGCTGTGATTGAAATCAATGGGAGTCTCTCCATTGAAGTCCATGGAAGCTGGATTAGGTCCTTAATGGACTGTTAGGGTAGGATGTGTTTTATCCCCTCTCTTAACAAAGTCATGATAATAAACCAATGTTTATTGTTGGAGAACATCATTTACGAAGTGACAGGTTTCAGAGTAAAAAGAAAAGGAGTAACAGCCGTGTTAGTCTGTCTTCGCAAAAAGAAAAGGAGGACTTGTGGCACCTTAGAGACTAACCAATTTATTTGAGCATGAGCTTTCGTGAGCTACATCCGATATGAAGGAAAGCTCATGCTCAAATAAATTGGTTAGTCTCTAAGGTGCCACAAGTACTCCTTATCGTTTACGAAGGAAACCAATTTCATTTCACTTTCAAATCCCAAAGGCGTTACTAGATCACACTGGTTTTATAAACTATGACAGCAGTGCTTAATTTGTAATGAAAAGGGGGTCGGGGTTCATGCCATTAGGTGCCACAGTTTAAACAATTTTCTTTTCATTCGTAACTGATGCAGCAAGCCCAGAGGTGCCGGGGCTCTGAACTGCCAAGCCTAGAGGTGCTGGTACAAATTAAGCCCTGAATGACAGATACCATGCTGGTTTCAGAGTAACAGCCGTGTTAGTCTGTAGTCACAGAAAGAAAAGGAGTACTTGTGGCACCTTAGTCTCTAAGGTGCCACAAGTACTCCTTTTCTTTTTGCAGATACCATGCTGAAGCTCTTTGCATCAAAGCCTGTATCAAGTTAAACAGGCCTTTCTGTTTGTTTGTTTTTTAAAGGAAGATTGGCTTTTGTTTAGATCTTAACTAGAATTATTGTAATGGCAGGTATTTAGCAGATGCCCCCACCTGATTTACTACTGTCCTATGATAAGCCCTGATCCTCCAGTGAGCTAGTGTTAATATAGTGGAAATCCACAGCTGTACAGGCTCTGATGTGGGAGCCTGGGCTGTAGACACATGATTTGTTTATGTTAGAACACGTGTCATGTTTCAAGTGGTGGCATTTGTTTCTCATGGAGGGTTGGGAATTCCTGGGCCTACACCAGGCCTAAAATGCTAAATATTATTGTTGTCCTGCTTGCAGATGAAAAGGGATGAATCTCGCTCTCCCGGGGACCTAAATATTGCTCCAAGCAGTAGCCAGAGGCTGACATATAACACCTAAATCAAATGAGCTGTCTTAGCTTAAATCCCCAATGCTACTGCCAGACACTATAGGAGCTGAAAATGCTCTTAATGCAATGGAGCAGAGGCTAGGCTTGAGTTTCATCCACAGTGGCTACACCGGGGAAGATCATATAAGCTACCACTCGCACTTCATGCTGTTTTCATTGGAATTATTGTTTAAAAAAAATAAGTGTCACAGAAATAGTTTCACTGACATTAGAAGGCTTTTTCTGCAAACCCTAATTTGGGGTATAAATTAAGGCCTGCATCTTGGAAGTGGTTCTCTGGCTGCTTACATGGATCCAGCTGTGGGATCAAGGCGTTTATTGAATACAAAGGCCATTGTTGCTGGAGCTGTGGCACCAAGGTCGGTCTGTCGAGTTCCCTGTGCATTCATGCTAGAAAAAACATCTTCCTCTCCTGAACCTCTAAAACCTCTTTTAGATTGCATTCTCTTCAGACTGGACACCCGAGGTGAATCTGTAGCCATGATCTCCTCCAAGGCTAATCAATGCCAGTGTCACTTGAGGGAGCGGCTGTGAACAAACACCAGTGGAGAAGGAGCCTCCAGAATCTGCATTTTGCGACACAACTGTACATTGCTAACCCAGTGGATGCTAGAGCTGAGGTCAAACCTGGCCAGGCTGGCTGGGGAGGGGGGGGGGGGGGCAGCAAAGCATGTTTCTGCGGGAATCACTGGGGAATGGAGAGGGGTGATTCCAGGTTAAGTGACAAAACATTCAGATTCTGGGAGGATGGGGGGGGGGGTGAATGTCAAATCACAGATCCTGAATAATCAGGGTCAGATCCTCAGCTGGTATAAATTGGTGTAGCTTCACTGATGTGTCAGAGAAGCTATGCCAGTTTAAGCCAGCTGAGGATCTGGCCCACAGACTTTACATGGGTGGAGGGAACGTCATCCTCAGTATGCTGAGCATGGGCCCATCAGTGTCTGTTCAGTAGGACAGTACAGTTCACAACGTGGCACAGAGCAGTATCCGGGTATTACAGCTAGCATCTCCAACCCAGGGAAGGCACAGCAATGCCTCCTGGGGTCTTGAACAGCCTAGACTCCTGCCCTCTGCTGACTGGCTATTGGCTCCAACTCTTTCCTTCCCCCAGTCTCTTCATCTCAGCCTGACTTCACTCCTGCCTCTCTTACCTTCTTCTCCTCTCCTCTGTCCCCTTCACCCTGCTTCCCTTCCCATTTAACTGATCTCCTCCTAACTAACCCTCCCCCCAAATAAATTGTGGAATTAATATAGCTTACACTATTTGTCTACCCCTTCCCCACCCTGGCTGTCTGGTTGAATTTGATTGTAAACTTTCCAGGCAGGGACCATCTACTATTGTACAGCGCCTAGCACAATGGGGTCCCATTCTGCCTCAGGCACTGTCATAACAAACATCATTACTATTTATTATTTATTATTATTATTAACACCACGCTTGGAATCGGAGTCTCCTAAACTCCAAGTGCTATCAACAGAGCAGCATAACTGAAATCTTTTCCACCCAAGGAGTACAGAGGTGGGGGAGTGGGGGTGGGGAAATAACTTGATAAGAAATAAAACGTCAGCTTTAGGAAGTTGCCAGATGTCCCAACATCTGGCTATAGACGAAAACGGATGGAAATAGATGCTGTATAAAAAGAATACTACTTTGCATATGTACAGTGCCTTTCGTCCAAGAATTTCAATGTGCTTTACAAACCAAACCTCACAGCTGCTAATCACTGTCACCATTTGACAAATGAAGAAACCAAGGCACAAGAAAGCTAAGTGACTTGTCCAAGGTGACACATGAAGTCTGATAGGAACCGGGGGTGGGGGTGGGGGCGGCGAGAGAGAGAATCCTGGCCCTATGGAAGTCAATGGGAACACTCACTGAATTCAGCAGGGCTGGTATTTCCTCTGGCTCTCAGGCCTGTGTTTTAAACACAGGACCATCCTTCCTCCTCTAATATTTTCACAAGATTTATCTCCCTGAGTGACAGATCACACAACAGCAACACTGCATTTTTCGTGCTTGCGACTTTGTTGTGGTTGCTGCATGGAAATGGCTTGTAACAAAGACAGGCGACTTTCACAAGTCGCCTGCTTTCCACAGATTATAATAAAACTCATAAAAAAACAAAACAACTGAACCCACAACAACTCCCAGCACAAATCAGCACAAGGCAGAGCTTCCTCTTTCTGCAGCCTGGGGATTAATTTACTCCAGTGACCTGTGTCAGATTTGCTCAGATAAAGAAGCAAGGACACCAGGGTCTTAAAGCAGCAACATCACTTAACAAGCAAGTCAAATTAGACTGTATTTTTTTTAAAAGCGACCTCCCTACTTTAAGTATCAGAGGGGTAGCCGTGTTAGTCTGCAGCCACGAGGAGTCCGGTGGCACCTTAAAGGCTAACAGATTTATTTGGGCATAAGCTTTCGTGGGTAAAAAACCCACTTCTTCAGATGCACTCCTTTAGTATATAGATATATATATTCCTGGCCATTGCTCCTTTGTTTGGAAATAGACCTGCCTCACATGGCCGAGAAGAGGAAAGGGAGGAAGACAAAGCCCGCTCCATTCATGGCTTGCCACTGTAGCGGCAAACAGAAGGAAAAAACCACAAACCCTTCATACAATTTCCGCCTCCACTGGAGAAATGCAAATACCAGCCCTTGCTTCCCCGCACCAGCTGAGAAAGGCAGGATGCTCCGCCGCCCATGCAAGCCAGAGAAGCCACGTTTAAAGCAGACGTTCAGTTATCCTGTGTCCCTCCCTCCCCCCTTCGCCTGTGGGCTCGCTCTGCTCCTGCGGGCTCTCACTTACATGCGGCCCTCCGACGCCCCGCTGCCTGCGAGGGTGCAGGTTCGAGCCCATCCTGCCGCGCTGGACGAACAGAGCCGCTGCGGGCTCCCCGGCGTCAGCTGCCACCGTGGAGCTGGAGCGAGGCACCTGAATTCCATCCCGACCCAGACGCCCCACCCCTCGGCCAGTCAGACCGGGGCTCTGAGTCATGCCCAGATGCCTGCCGGCCAGCGGCTGAATCTCTTCTTCCCCCTTCCAGTCCTGGGGAGGGAGGAAACACACACACACACACGCCACGTTTACTTTTCCACTAAAGTCATTGCAGTCTCTTCAGCTGCCTGGATCTGCCAAGGAGCAGCGAATGCCAGGCTGCCTTTTCCTGAGAGCTGGCTGGCTGAGAAAGCCTGGTTTGTAGATTCTCAGCCCCATCTGCCCTCTCGGGGCCAGAGCTTTTCCTTGGCCTGTTGAACCTTCAGCAGTTGTTACACATGCTTCCAGTCCTCTAAAAACCTAGAGAAAACAATACTCTGCTGGGCATCAGGACACCATAATACCACCTAGTTCTTATAGAGCACTTTTTATCCATTGATCTCAAAGCACTTTACAAAGGAGAGGTCACTGTCCCCATTTTACAGATGGGTAACTGGGAGGTGAAGTGACTCCCTCAACATAAGAATGGCCCTACTGGGTCAGACCAAGTTCCATCTAGCCCAGTCTCCTGTCTTCCAACAGTGGCCAGTGTCAGGTGCCCCAAAGGGAATGAACAGAACAGGGAATCAGCAAGTGATCCAAGGTCACACCGTAGTGGCTTAGTAACAGAACCCAGGTTTCCCGAGTCTCAGTCCAGTGCACTATCCACTAGGCAACAGTGTCTCCCTTTGAGGCAAGGCTGTCTTAGGAGAGGACAATGAAATCTGAAATGCCCCATTTTCAAAAATGGAGGATGTGTGCGTGCAGGTCTGCAGACAACACTCCACGTGTAGGTACATGACCACACTTGTGCCTTCAGAGCCAGGAACGGTGCGCCCAACTGGCCATTTGAACGCACAGCTACCCTGTGTGCACACAGCTATAGGGTGACCATATTTCCCAAAGGGAAAATGGGACACCAGATGTGGCTGGCCCAAACCTGCCCTGTGGCCTGCCTGAGCCCCCCCCACTCCACGCGTGGCTGGGGTGGCTGGAACTCTGCCTGCCCTCCGCAAGAAGCTGTCACTGGAACCCTGCCTCCCCCGCACCAGAGCCCGGCCCCCCCCCTTCAAGGAGTTGGTGTCTCTGCTTGCCCGCACCTCACACCACCTTTCTTTTTTTTTTTTTTTTTTTTTTACCAAAGTGGGTGTTTCATAGAATCAGAATCATAGAATATCAGGGTTGGAAGGGACCCCAGAAGGTCATCTAGTCCAACCCCCTGCTCAAAGCAGGACCAATTCCCAGTTAAATCATCCCAGCCAGGGCTTTGTCAAGCCTGACCTTAAAAACCTCTAAGGAAGGAGATTCTACCACCTCCCTAGGTAACGCATTCCAGTGTTTCACCACCCTCTTAGTGAAAAAGTTTTTCCTAATATCCAATCTAAACCTCCCCCACTGCAACTTGATCAAATCAGCAAGAGCAAAAGGGACAAAGGCCCACTTTTGCCAAAAAAGTCGGGACAGCCTGGACAGAGCTTAAAAAAGGGACTGCCCAGGCCAAAATGGGATGTAGAGTCACCTGAAGCTACAAACATTGTGCAAACATTTTCAATGAATGCAGAGACCAGCTCACTGGTTCTGGTGTGACAGGAAAAGCTGAAGGAGTTGTGACGGGAAATCCAGGATGTTTTTGACCACATGCACCTGGCGGAAAATTTTATGAGACATGCCCAGCATTGTTAGCAGTTCAGCTCTACCACTGTTCTCAATAACTGCTGATTAGAGCTGCTCTAGACAGGGCACTATGCTCAGAATGATAGAGATACCCAGGCTCCCAACTCCCATAGTAGCAGACAGGATTGTGAGATCATAACACAGGGCACTAGTCTTGCTTCCTCTTCCTTTATTAAAACGAATTCAAATTGCCATTTATCAGGGTGCTAAATGGTATTTTTGGTATCACTGTCTGAGCTGTTTCCTCTTCCTAAGAGCTTCTAAGCTGGACAGTTTTGAGATGCTGTATGTGTTCAAACACTTCTTAAATGGGTGGATTGACAGTCATTTTGATAAGTCTGGGCTCAGACCCATTCCCAATCCCATGCCTTGCTATGGTCCCATTTGTGCTACTCAGAGCTTTGTGCGAAGGACCAGGATTTGGATCTGTGCGCTGACAGGAGATAGACAACAATAGTTATTGTTGTGGACTAGAGAGAGCTTTGAACTGGAATTGGATTGGCTGTTCTAGGGCCTTTTGAGCCAGTCCAAGTCTAACGGAACAGTTTGCTGGGACTTTATTACTTCTGTCTCTGGGTTATTTTTATGACTATTAATCACATGGACTTTTTGTTCTGTGTTTGTACAGCGCATAGTACAGGTCCATGGTTACAGCTCCTAGACGCTACAATACATGTCTTCTTCTTTCTTGCCACTTCCCCAGTCGAGGTCAGGGACTTTTATAGCCTTCTTCCAAAACTCATGCTCATATGTCAGGCTGTCGTGCACATTGGATATCCAGTCCATGTACCAAGTCTTTAGTGTCCCCCTGCTCATCTTCTGTTGAGTCATTGCAAGAACCATCCTACTGATAGAACTCTCCGGTCTCCACTGGATATGCTCATACCAGCACAGCCTAGCCTCACTCAACTTGTCTTCAACTGGAGCAAACCAGGTTAGGCCCCTTACAACCTGGTTACATTTCCGGTCACAGAACGTTCAACCATTTGACAATCTCGACATCTTCATTGCCATAGTGCAGAGCATACCGATTTCCTTTCTTGTGGTAAAGAAGAAATAACTTGTACTTATGTGAACTACACGTGTCCTTCCAGCTGTTACCTTGGCAAGCCCTTGTGGCACAGGCTAATGAATAGGAAATCACCTTCCCTCACTATGCACCTGAGTGAGAGTTGGGATCTTGTTAATTACTTTTTAATCTTCTTCCTTTGAGGTATCAATGTACCAGGCCAGGCAGGATCCCAGATTTACTGGTCGAGTGATCTGCTCCAATGTCACAAACCCTGTTCCCCACCTCTCAGAAGGATCTGGATTCATAAGAAGTGCTAGAGAGAAACTTTAACTTAGTTCACTTATTTTTAATGGTCTTAATAAAACACAGACACAATCATTCATACTATACGAACAAATACGTATCATGAAAAGGTCAGTAGTGCAATGAATACTACATACAGTGCACCATTTAAATACTAAAGCCCTCACAAAAAAGGGACTTAAGTGCACATGAATGGGCTCTCTGCCCAGTGAATTTCACCCCATATGAAGAGTACCTACTAATCCACACCTAATTATGTAGATTAAGAAGGCAGATAATATACTGCGTACATTAAAAAATGTACTTTGCTCAGCATCCTTAAACATGTTCCTCAAAAAACAACCACCAACCAACAGGCAATGGGGATCTCTTGCCGACACTCAGTGAAATCCTGGCCCTATTGAAGTCAATGGCAAAACTCCCCTTTATTTCAATGGGGGCCCAAGACTTCTTTCACCTATGAGCGAAAGCTAGTTTGGCCCTGAGTAGAACAGCCTTTGTAAAACTGCACCTAGCAGCCAGGATCTCCAGCATAAAGAGAGAAAGTTTTTGATTTGAAGGAGGATGATTTGGAGGCAGGGGCTCTGGAACAGTTTGTATGGTGGGGGTACTGAGAGCCATTGAATCAAACTGTAAACACTGGATATAATGGAAACCACTTCATGCCAGGGGGTGCAGCAGCACCCCCAGTACCCCTAGTTCCAGCACCAATGTTTGTGGGCGGTTTGGTGGTTCTCAGTTTATTCTATACCACAAACCCCTTTTCTATAACAGGACCCTTTCCTATCTGGATGTAGCCAGGATTGCCCTCCCATTTAGCAATATGGGAAGGGCAGAGGGTTCATGACCCCCGTCACCTGTCTGCAACCCTCCTAGGGGTCACCACCTCCAAGTACAGGACCCCTGTTTTTTTCCTCCCATCACATATACATAGGCACACATGTGTATTTTGACGTTTATGTAGTTTAAAAATGTTTTTTGAATGTAATAGACTTAGAGCTGCATTTGGACTCAGACTTATAATAAACAGTCTATTAAAAAGTGTGGATTTTTGGCAAAAATTTTCCTTTGCAGTTCGACCATGAGGATGATTTAATCTGTCTAGTAACTGCAGGACTTCTGAAGCTAAGGTTTTCCAGCAGAGAATTACAGGAACAAACAAACCCATTCTCTCTAATTTACCAACATACTTTCCCACTCTGGCTCAGAGTTAAGACTCTTATTCTCCAAAGGCCACTGAGAGTTCATCTGACATAATGGGAACTGCAGTTCCAGCCATTCCAATGATTTGTCTCCTACAGGAGTTTTACGTCAGTCTCAAGTTACTACCTCAATGTAAATTCTTTCATCTGTCTCAAATGCTTGTTTCATGTACACTGCCCTGTAAGTCTGCCAGGGACCCAGCCCTTGATCCTTGGAGTAGTGCCATATTAGCCTGAGCTCACCTGGAGAAGGCCTCCTCCTGTTCTTTGAGTCAGAGGAATGACTGTGCAAAGATCCAAGAAAGGCAGAACTCAAGGGAAGGAAACTCAAAGGGTCATGGTTTGAGTCTCTTTCTCAGTGTGCTCAGGTTTACATCGAACAAAAACAATCAAACAGCGTTTCGAACAGGCATAAAAAAATGCTTTTGCAAAACATACTAGGCACAGCCATGTGTGTCTGTGCACCAGCTTCGTCTTGGTATATGCAGATTGGGTAATCACACTCTTTAATACCTGTTTACACATGCAGTGCCCCCTGTTGTGCACACAAAGATAAGTACCCACAAACGTTGGAGGCACAATTCAGTGACCCAAAGCAAATCTGTGTGTCTGCAGGTGATGCCTACCTGCCACAGCATCTGTTCTGTGTCTTTTCTTGTTTTCAGTGCAACAGCTGGGCTGTTGCTTTTCAGTGTTCTTTTCCTTAGCTTCACACATGCCATAGTTATATCAGTGTTGCTCTTTAAGGGACACACATGGTGTATATTTACTGCCCATGAATGGTGTTAGATGGGTGGGCCTGGAGAATGTAGCCTTCTATTTAGCCAGCAAATGGTGCAGTGTGAGCACCCAGGGCCAGCTTCCCCACACCGTCCCACCCACAGACTCAGAGGTCACCACATATCACGATGAAAGTTCCTTCTCCCCACACATCCACTTTGTCCCTTCAGCATGAC